GAACAAGGCATGCGAATATTTTGCAGACTGTAACACATTCTCTGCATAATTTTGTTATTTTTGTCCACATGACAGTACAGAGGGAAGTCGAGTTTGTTCAGAGCCTGGGCCTGGGTATAGATGACATAAGAGACGAGGCCCTGGGACCGGTACTCAGGCACGGTGCCTGCCATTCGCATTTCTCCTGTCTGGTCCATTAGGGTCCCAGGACACAGGGTTCCCCCTTGGGCCCCAGAAGACAGTAGCTGGGGAAGTTCTGGATACAGCGCTCGATGAATCTTCGGCTCCTATCATTGCCACCATAATGCCAGAATTCATTCACCAGGGCAGCGTGGGTGACATCCAGGGAAGACAGCTTAAACATTTGCTCATTGCTATGGAGATTCCAAGAGAAAAGTAAAGGCTATGAATATTTATTATATTTGCTCTTATTTCTATTTTCTAAATTACATTTCTAAAAGTGATTAGTCTGTCTGCTTTGAAGAATATTGACTGCAGGGCAGCCAGAGTGAAGGCAGGAAGAGGAGATGGGAGGCTGATTCAGGAATGAGGTGTGAGTGGCGCAGTGACTTTTATCAGACTTACATGGGCTTAGGCTTGCCATCACCAGGCGGTAGGTTCTTTATATCCAGTAGAGAAGGACTCAGTTTCTTTAAAGTGTCAAGTGCCACATAGAGAAAGCACTGTGTTTGTTCAGCTTTGAAGGATTTCATGGCTGCAAGACTTTGTATCACCTCATTCAGACTGGACTGTGAACCTGTATGATGTTTTAAGGAGAAATGCAATGATTTCAGTACATTCTATGGAGATGCTGTCCAGTGGAGCAGGAAGTGTCTGCATTTACAGTCCCAAAACCTTGCTTCTGGCTTGGTGCTACTGCTGTGTGATTGGGGTCACTTAGCAAGATTTGTGCAATGAACATGCTCAGAAATTTATTCAGCCATGGCCATACCATATTTGTGGCAATAGCAAGACAGAAACCAGATTTTAGGGCTATGTGATCATATAGTTTTGATAATCACAGAACATGAGTTACAAAAACTAGAGTAGCCAACATCTATTGTGCACCTACTATGTAGCCAGTGTGGTAGATTGCTGCAGGAATGACCCACTACTTGCCCATGCCTTCTTGTTTCCATTCCCTGGAATAGTTCCCTCCTACATTGCATCTGACCTTGGTCATATGACTTGCTTTCACTAATGGGACACAGTAAATATGATACAGGGAGAGGCTCACAAGTGTTTGCACATTGGGGTTGCTCTCTCTTTGTGCTCCTGATTACCTTGAGACCAACACCATATGAACTGGCTCAAGTTAGCCTGCTGAGGACTTGTGCTCTTATTATGTTGTCACCATAGTGGCTGGCACCAATAGCCAGAACCATCATTTAGACGTGCGAGTGAGGCCACACTATAGCAACCAGCCAAGAGTCCATCCATGAACAGGCTGCAGCTGCATGAGTAAACCCAGGTGAAATGAGCAGAAGAACTGCCTTGCAAAGCCCAGCCCAGATGTTGATTCACAGAATTACGAGGCTTGCTATGCAGTGAAAGTTAATTGACACATCCAGGTATTGTGCTAAGCAATTCCTATTCAAGACTTTATTTAATCTTTTCAACACCCCTTGTGTTTTAGGTGCCATTATGATCCTCATTTGTATATATGACCTCAGTAAGGATAATTCATGTGGTATGATCACACAGCAAGTAACAGACAAATGCCATCATAGGAAGTCTGATTCTGGAGGGCATTCCTGTAACCATGACAGTTGTCCTTCATGACCTGGGAGGTGCTTTATGACACGAAAGCATGGAAGGCCCTCAGGGAAGCTCTGCTCTGGCACCCAGTCAACATAAGTCATGTGGATATGTCTGCAAAATATGCCCTAAATCCTTGGCCATCAAGGCATTATATTATGTTTCCCATTATGATGCCCACTGTTTGCAAGCTTTGAGGGTGTTTTTGTCAGTTTGCAGGAATAGTGGCAGCTGAGTCAGAAAATTCACTGCAGGCTAGGGTCTGGAACACGGAGAAAGGTGGTAGGGCCATAGCGGAAATTGTTCAAGACACAGAAGTGAGCCAGCACACTTCCCATTCCCTTTACTTACTTTGGATCTGCAAATGCTGTTTCCAGTTAATGACTTCTGGTGAGCCAAGCAGTTCCTGACAGTTCTCGGGGTCCCTGGAGTAGATTTGGTAAGTATTGGTGTAGTGATCGAAGTCATCTACCATCTCCTGTTGTCATTGGGGAAAGGGAAATAAAGCAAATTTCATGTAGTTCATGATTGAAGTACTTTTTTCCCCTAAATCCATTACACCATATTTTTAAGTACTGAAATATTTGTATTTTTATTCATGCATTACTATTCATTTTTAAAAAAAGTATTGTATTGATTATGCTATTACTGTTGTCCCAATTTTCCCCTTTCCCCCAACATTCCATCCAGCAACCACCTCTTAGTTCATGTTCATGGATTATGGATATAAGCTGTTTAGTTTCTCTAGTTCCTATACTGTTCTTAACATCCTGCTGTCTATTTTGTCCCTACCAGTTATGCTTCTTAGCCCTTCCCCTTTCCCCCCATCCTCCTCCATTTCCCTCTCAGCTGATAACACTGCATATTTATGATCTGTTCCTGTTCTGGGGTGTTATTTTTTATTGAGTTATTTTTTAAAATTTATTTTGTTGATTATGCTATTACAGTTGTCCATTTCCCCCCTTCACGCCCCTCCACCCTGTACACCCTCTCCCATCCACAGTCACCTTTTTTAATTCATGTCCATGTGTCATACTTATAAGTTCTTTAGCTTCTACATTTCTCATACTATTCTACCCTCCTCCTATTTTCTACCTACAATCTATGCTACTTATTCTCTGTACCTTTTCCCCCTCTCTCCTCCTTCCACTCCCCTGTTGCTAACCCTCCATGTGATCTCCATTTCTGTGGTTCTGTTCCTGTTCTAGTTGTTTGCTTAGTTTCTTTTGGTTTTGCTTTAGGTGTGGTTGTGAATAATTGTGAGTTTGCTCTCCTTTTACTATACATGTTTCTTTTTAATCTTCTTTTCTTAGATGAGTCCCTTTAACATTTCATAAAATAAGGGCTTGGTGATGATGAACTCCTTTAACTTGACCTTATCTGAGAAGCACTTTATCTGCCCTTCCATTCTAAATGAAAGCTTTGCTGGATAGAGTAATCTGGGATATAGGTCCTTGCCTTTCCTGACTTGGAATACTTCTTTCCAGCCCCTTCTTGCTTGTAAGGTCTCTTTTGAGAAATCAGCTGACAGTCTGATGGGAACTCCTTTGTAGGTGACTGTCCCCTTATCTCTTGCTGCTTCGAGGATTCTCTCCTTCATTTTTACCTTGGCTAATGTAATTGTGAAGGACCTTGGTGTATTTCTTCTTGGGTCCAACTTCTTTGGGACTCTCTGGGCTTCCTGGACTTCCTGGAAGTCTCTTTCCTTTGCCAGAATGGGGAAGTTCTCCTTTATTATTTGTTCAAATATGTTTTCAATCTGTTGCTCTACCTCTTCCCCTTCTGGCACCCTTATAATTTGAATGTTGGAACGTTTAAAGATGTCCTGGAGGTTCCTAAGCTTCTCCTCATTTTTTTGAAAAAATTTTTAAAGATTTTATTTATTTGTTTTTAGAGAGGGAAGGGAGGGAGAAAGAGAGAGAGAGAGAAACATCAATGTGCAGTTGCTGGGGGTCATGGCCTGCAACCTAGGCACGTACCCTGACTGGAAATCGAACCCGTGACACTTTGGTTCACAGCCCACGCTCAATCCACTGAGCTTTGCCAGCCAGGGGTTATTTTGAATTCTTATTTCTCCATTCTTTCCTGTTTGGTTGTTTCTTTCTTCCCTCTGGTCCACTCTATTGTTTTGAGTCCCAGTTTCCTTCCCATCACTATTGGTTCCCTGTGCATTTTCTTTCATTTCTTTTATGGTAACCTGCATTTGCTTATCTGATTTGCAACCAAATCAACCAGTTCTGTGAGCTTCCTGATTACCAGTGTTTTGAACTGTGCATCTGATAGATTGGCTATCTCTTAGTCACTCAAAAGGATGAGTTCTGGGGCACTGATTTGTTTTTCTGTTTGAGCCATCTCTCTCTCTCTCTCTCTCTCTCTCTTTTGGTCTGGTAGCTGCTGTTACGGTGAGGGGCAGAGCCTCAGGTGTTCACCAGGACTGGGCACCCCAGTAGTTAGATTGTGACATTGTATGTGAGGACGGGGTCGAGAGGGAACAATGGCGTTCTCTGTTGGACCTCAGTCCCTTCCCCTGGGATATCCTGGGTTGCACGCTCTGCCCTGCTCCACAATCGCCGCCTTACTGGGTCTGCCAGCTGCTGCTTGCATACTCAGGGTCCACCTGCTGCGATCTTGCGTGCCCCAGATGCCTTATGCACTCCCGGTTGCCTTTTGCGCCAAGACTCGTGCCCTGGCTGCTAGTCTCCGCCCCTCCTATCAGTCTGGATGAACGGGTCTATTTCAACTTGTTGGCTGTCTGACTTCCATTCAGATAAATTCTCTATCAGTTCTGGGTGTTATTCTGCCTCTAAATTGTTGTTGTTCTAATCTTGGTTGTGCGTGGAGGTACAGTGCGTCCACCTATGCCTCCATCTTGCCAAAAGTCCTGATTCAGTTATTGATAGTTGTGAATTGTTGCTATTTTCATGTTCATAGTTGTGATCTTCTTTTTTTAAATAATTATCCTTAACTTTTCATGTAATAATTGCTTAGTGATGAGGAATTCCTTTAGATTTACCTTCTCTGGGAAGCCATTTATCTGCCATTCCAATCTAAATGATAGCTTTGCTGGATAGAGTAATCTAGGTTGTCAGTCCTTGCTTTTCATCAGTTTGAATACTTCTTGCCAGTTCCTCCTTGCCCACAAAGTTTATTTTTTATTTTAATTTTTGAATTTCATTTGTTTTTGAACAAACACAAATATTTATAAAAAATTTTAAATTATAGTTGGCATTCAATATTATATTAGTTCAGGTATATATCAGGTGTATATTATTAAATTAGAGGTGAGATTATTAGGAGGAAGGAGGTGCAGAAAATATTACCATGACTAATGCAGAATTAGGAAGCCTTTTTTTTTAAAAAAAGGATTTTCTTTATTTATTTCTAGACAGAGTGGAAGGGAGTGAGAAAGAGAGGAGAAGCATCAATGTGTGGTTGCCTCTCACGTGCCCCCAACTGGGGAGCCAGCCTGCAACCCAGGCATGTGCCCTGACAAGGAATTGAACTGGAGATTCTTTAGTTCACAGGCCCTTGCTCAATCTACTGGGCTACACTAGCCAGGGCAGGAAGCCTTTTGAAAATATAGTTAGAAAATGTACACAACATACTCACAAGTCAGCAATGATACCACTATCACATTTAAAGTCACATTTAAGATAAAAAGATAAAATAATTTTATAATTTCATTTTCATTTTTATTATTAACATAATTTTTTCATTTTATATATTTTTAATTTAGTGGCTTTATAGTATTTTTAGTTGTCTGAAAGGTATATACTACTTGCATTTTTCCAAATTTATAGTTTCACTGGATATTTTAAAGTGAGTTTAGAATTTTTGCTTTTACAATTGAGTTGTACTAATTTCTGTAAATTGTATGTGGAAATTCTAGTATTAAAATTTTTCTTTTAAAAGTCACCCCAACTTGCTGTCCTGTTTCACATCTTCCTACGTTTCCCTTGCTATGTCCTCTTTTCCTTGTCAGCCTAACAGAAATACAGTTACCTACACAATGTAGTTCCAGTGAAAGTTCCACTGAGATGTTCCTCTAACCTTATCCCTGTGACCTCCAACTTCAGCCTCCATGGTGTAATCAGCTTTTGTCTGTGCTATTTCTGCATGTTGTTCCTCTTCTGTTCTTACACAATTTGCACTGAGTTGTAATGTACTCACTTATCTATCTTTTCCTCCAGGCTATGAGCTCTTCGAGCACAAGGACTTGTTCACCATCACTGAGATTCATTTGTGCTTCCCCTGCATCTTCACTGCCAGGTGCAGTGTAGGCACATACAACAAACAGGAGTGTATGCATTCTATATCTGCTCCTATATCTTACCTGCTCCTGAGGGCGGACTACCACTGTATTAAAATCAGGCCACTTGTCCACCAGGGCCTTTAGCTTGAATGGGTTTCCCTGGTTCATGTGGAAGACAGTCCCATAAACCTGCAGCATCCGAGAAAGTGAGAAAGTCAGCTTATTAGGAAGAGGTGGCCTAGTGCCCTGTTTGATCAGGACAAGGATCATTTCTATGAAATCATAAAATTTTATGGTGGCAAAAAGCCAAATAGGGCATCTAGGTCAATCTCCCTATATTCAATACCTCTTTTTTTTAACCTCAGATGAGAAGACCTTTTCTTCTCCTCCAATATGAATCATGCATGCACATAATAGAATATTTGGGCAAAGAAAACTGGTGATTTTAACAACACCATTCTTTATTTGTGGATTTAATCTTATCTTTTGGCAGATTTTCTCCTATTCATACACATAGAGACCTACAAATTTTGAAACATAATATAATCTAGTGTGTGGTATTTTTCCCCCATTGACTATTCAGTGGACATAGTTCCATGTTCATAAACACAACGTTTTTTTATTATTTTCTAATGGCTGCATGAGATTCCTTTATATGAATGTACCACACCTTCATTTATTCATTTATGTATTGATGGTGATTTCAGCTATCTCCAAGTTTTCACTTTCACAAATAATTCTTTATAAAACATGCTTGCACAGAAGTCCTTGCATGGTGTAGGGTAAGTGGAGTCAGTCAGGCTCACTCACCTAGGTGTCTGGGCAAGTAAGAGAAGCACTTTTCCCACAACCTTGAGAATGGGCCCGATAAACTGTATTCCCATAACCTTGAGTGGGCCCGCACGCACAGAATCATGCTGTATTTTATAGTGGACTTGTGGTTTCCTGCTGTGTGACATGTGGCTTGCAGCATGCATAGATCACCCCACCCTTGAATAAAGATATGTTAGGCCTTCCCACAGCTCCATGAATTTTCTTTAGTCTTCCAGAATCTGGTGTGAACATGTCTGGCCTTGAACGGTTGCAACATACAAGGGTACCTGGTATTTTCTTAGATTACACAGAAGGGTAATTGCTAGCTCAACAGTTATGCTTAGAAGTCTTTAATGTATATGTCCATAGAACCCTCTGGAAAGGTTAAATGAACTCCCACCATCAGCAGAGACTGCAGCATGGTACTCAAGAGAATGGGCTATGGGGCCCCCATAGCCTGGGGGCCAACCTTGGATCTCCACCCTCACCATATTGTACAAACTATTGAGAGGGAAAAGTGAGGGGAGAATGAATGAGATTGAGCCTGAGAACATTAATTTCCTTGTAGTTTGGGGGGTTGGGGAATGCAGTAATGGTACCAACACGGGCCTCATGACAACTGTGAACATGAAGCCTCCACAGATAACAGCATGAAAACATGCTAGTGACCAAAACCCAAAAGCTGGTATGTATACACTTGAATGGTTTTCACCATAGAATATGTCTAAGGACTAATCCAGTGTCCTGCTCTCCTGAAACCCTCCCCCCTTATGAGCTGTTGATGTTTGACCAGGGAGAAATAGAGGGAGAATGAATCTCTCTAAATTGACTGAGTTTCTCTGAATGCATGGTGTTTTCAGCCATGAGTGGAGGCTTGAGTGGAAGCCACTTGTCCAACAGGGCCTTTCACTTGAACAGGTTTCCCTGGTTCATGTGGAAGATGGTCTCATATAATATAAATTTCCCATATAGAAATTTAGTGTAGTTTAGCAAAATATTTAAAACTACTACTGTTCCTTAGTCCCATGGCCTAATTCATTAAAACTCCTTTTTGTTCTGCTGAACTTAGAATATGGTAAGTGAGGCATCTACTTTAAGCTAACTCAAGTGGAGGTGACAGTTGTAATAAAATGTATTTAATATTGAACACTTGGAAAAATGGACAAACTTTTCCTCAAATGAGATGCAAGTGTTGGATTCTAAGTTATACCTGCATTTGACTCAAAACAGGAATTTTAAAGAACACTCATGATGATTAACTTTTTACCTGGCAAAGTAATCTTTTAGGGAGAGCAAATTAAACATTAATATGTAGTCCCAAGCTTGGAAGAGAATCTGGGCAAATTTCCAGTGTTATGAAGAAATGTTCCTTGGAAGGAACAAGGGAATACTTTTTTAATCACAGTGTACGGAACAAAAGGTAATGTTAGGCAAACCTACGATCATATCAAGCATCACAATTCACAGTTTGTGTGATATTGTGCAAATCATTAACTGAGCCTCCATCTTCTCATCACTGACATGGATATACTAATGAATATCTTGTAGGGAGGGATGCAAATCAAATGACAGAAAACATGCAATAGTGCCTGGTACAGAATTAGTGCTTGCTAAATGTTCATCACTTTTCCTTTTTTTTTTCACATGAAGTTTCTATTCCTTACTCTCAAAATGTTCAATTGCCACCTTTTTTGGAAGTCACTAATGCTCTTTGTTATTGAATTTATTGGGGTGACACTGGCTCACAAAACCATACAGGTTTCAAGTGTACAACTCAACAAAACATCATCTGCACACTGCATCATATGTCCATCACCCCAAGCAAAGTCTCTTTCTGTCCCCCCTCTTTGCCCAGCTCCACTATATGCCACCCCCTTTCCTTCTGACTATCACCACACTGTTGTCTATATGTACACACACACACACACACACACACACACACACACACACACACACATTGGACTAATTCCTTCTCCTCCCTTCATCCAGGCCCCTAACCCTCCTCCCCCTCTGACAGCTATCAGTCTGTTCATGTATTCATGCCTCTGTTCTATTTTGTTCATCAGTTAATTTTGTTTATTAAATTCGACATGTAAGTGAGATTTTGTGATTTTGCTGATTTCTCACTGGCTTATTTCACTCAGCTTAATAATCTCCAGGTCCATTTATGGTGTCACAAAAGTTTACATAGTCTGTTTTATGGATGAGTGGTATTCCACTGTATAAATGTACCACAGAGCTTTTGTTCACTCATGTACTGATGGGTATTGGGCTGTTTTCAGATCTTGGCTATGGTAAATAAAGCTGCAATAAACATAGGGGTGCATATACTCTTTAAATTTAGTGTTTGGGGATTCTTTGGGTATATTCCCAGAAGTAGTATCACTGGGTCAAAAGGCAGCTCCATTTTTTACATTTTGGAGGAAGCTCCTATTTTCCACAGTGGCTGCACCAGTCTGCATTCCCACCAACAGTTTACGAAGATTCCCTTTTCTCTACATCCTCACCAGCACTTGTTGTTTGATGATTTATTAATAATAGCCATTAGACACACGTAAGTGATATCTCATTGTGACTTTAATTTGCATCTCTGATGATTAGTGACATTGAGCATTTTTCATATGTCCACTGACCATCTGTATGTCTTCTTTGGACAAATGTCTATTCATGTCCTTTGCTCATTTTTTAAATTGAGTTGTTAATCGTCTTGGTGTTGAGTAGTATAAGTTATTTATATATTTTGGAAATTAATGCCTGATCAGATGTATCATTGGTAAATGTATTCACCCATTCAGAGGACTCCCTTTCTATTTTGTTGATGCTTATTTTTGTGATGAACCCGCAGCCAACATCATACTTAATGGACAAAAACTAAAAGCATTTCCATTAAGATCAGGAACAAGACAGGGGTGGCCACTTTCGCTACTCTTATTCGACATAGACTGGAAGCACTAGCCACAGCAATCTGACAAGAAGAAGAACTAAATAGCATCCAAGTTGGGAAGAAGGAAGTAAAACAGTCATTATTCACAAATGACATGATATTGTATATAGAAAATCATAAAGACTCCACCCAAAACTACTACCTCTAATAAATAAATTCAGAAAAGTAACTGGATGCAAAATTAATATTCAGAATTTGGTTGCATTTTATACACCAGTAATGAGCTATCAGAAAGAGATATTAAGAAAAACAATTCCATTTACTACTGCAAAAAATAATAAGGTACCTAGTAATAAATTTACATGAGGAAGTAAAATACTTGTAGTTAGTAAAAGAACTGTAATCAGAAAATTATAGGATACTGAAGAAAGAAAATGGGGAAGATACAAATAAGTGGAAGCATTCTGTTCCATTGATCTATGTGTTTGTTCTTATGCTATTACTAGGCTGTTTTGATTACAGTGTCCTTGTAATATAGTTTGATATCAGCTATTGTGGTCCCTCCTACTTTGTTCTTCTTTCTCAAAATTGCTATGGCTATTTGGGGTTGTTTACAGTTCCATATAAATTTTTGCAATGTTTGTTCTATATCTGTGGAATATGTCATTGGTATTTTAATAGGGATTGCATGTAATCTATAAATTGCTTTGGGTAGTGTGGACATTTTGTTGATGTTAGTTTTTCCAGTCCATGAAGATGGTATATGCTTCCATTTATTTGGAAGCATATATTTCCAAAATATAGTTTCCATTAATTTCTTTCTTCAGTGTTGTGTAGTTTTCTGCATATAGGTCCTTTACCTCCTTGGTTAGATTTATTCCTAGGTACTTTAGTTTTCTTGTTATAGCAAATGGGATATTTTCCCCTGATTTCTGTTTCTCATATTTCATTGTTGGTGCACAAGTCGCCTTCAATTTCTGATACTGACTTTGTATCCCGCTATTTTGCCAAATTCACTTATTAGGTCAAATAGCTTTTTGGTGGAGCTTATAAAGTTTTCTATGTACACTATCATGTCATCTGCACACAATGACAGTTTTGCTTCCTCCTTTCCAATTTGGATGCCTTTTATTTTTATTTTTTTCTTGTTTGGTCACTGTGGCTAGGACTTCCAATTTCTCAACTCCACTCCAGGAAAACAAACAATCATATTAAAAAGTTGTCAAAGGTCTTTTACCTCCTTGGTTAGGTTTATGCCTAGGTACTTTATTTTTCTTGTTGCTATATCAAATAGGATTTTTTTCTTGACTTCTGCTTCTGCTGTTTCATTGTTGATATACAAAAATGCCTTTGATTTCTGGATATTGACTGTGTATCCCACTGTTTTGCCAAATTCATTTATTAGGTCCAGCAGTTTTTGGATGGAGTCTATAGGATTTTCTCTGAACACTATCGTGTCATCTGCAAACAGTGACAGTTTTGTTTCCTTCTTTCCAATTTGGATGCTTTTTATTTCTTTTTCTTGTCTGATGGCTGTGGCTAAAACTTCCAATACTATGTTGAATAGAAGTGGTGAAAGTGGACAACCTTGTCTTGTTCCTGATCTTAGAGGAAGAGATTTTAGTTTTTTCCCATTGAGTATGATGTTGGCTGTAGGTCTCTCCTATATGGCCTTTATTATGTTGAGGAATGCTCCCTCTATTCCCACTCTGCTGAGTGTTTTTATCATAAATGGGTGCTGTACCTTATCAAATGCTTTCCCCCCATCTATTGATATGATCATGTGATTTTTGTCTTTGCTTTTGTTTATGTGATCTATTACATTTATTGGTTTGTGAATATTGTACCATCCTTGCATCCCTGGAATGAATCCAACTTGGTCATGGTGTATGATCTTTTTAATGTATTGTTGGATGTGGTTTGGCAATATTTTGTTGAGAATTTTAGTGTCTATGTTCATCAGCGATACTGGCCTGAAGTTTTCTTTCTTTGTCATGTTTTTACCTGGTTTTGGGATTAGAGTGCTGCTAGCTTCATAAGAAGAGTTTGGGAGTCTTCTCACATTTTGGATTTTTTGGAATAGTCTGTAAATGATAGGAGTTAGCTCTTCCTTAAATGCTTTGTAGAATTCTCCTGTGAAACCGTCTAGTCGAGGGCTTTTGTGTGTTGGGAGTTTTTTGATTACTGCTTCAATTTCATCTGCTGTTATTGGTCTGTTCAGGCTTTCTGCTTCTTCTTCCTTGAGTTTTGGAAGATTATATTTTTCTAGAAATTTGTCCATTTCACCTAGGTTTTCAAATTTCTTGGCATACAGTTCTTCATAGTAATTTCTTACAATCCTTTATATTTCTGTGGTATCAGTTGTGATCTCTCCCTTTCATTTCTGATTGTGTTTATTTGGGTCCTCTCTCTTTTTTTCTCGATGAGCCTGCTTAAAGTCTGATCAATTTTGCTTATGTTTTCAAAGAACCAGGCCCTGGATTCATTAATCCTTAGAATTGTGCTTTTAGTCTCTATGTCATTTAATTCTGCTCTGATTTTGGTAGGTGCCCATCAGTAAATGAATGGATCAAAATCTATGGTACATTTACACAGTGGAATTCTATGCAGCAAAAAGAAAGAAGGAGCTCCCACCCTTTGCAACAGCATGGATGGAACTGGAAAAACATTATGCTAAGTGAAATAAGCCAGGCAGTGAAAGACAAATACTATCATATGATCTCACCTTTAACAGGAACCTAAACAACAAAACAAGCAAAATATAACCAAAGACACTGAAATAGAGAACAGGCTGACAGTGACCAGAAGAGAGAGGGGAGGGAATTTCAGGGGAAAAGGGGAAGGGTTTACAGCAACGAGTATAAAAGACACATGGACAAAAACAAAGGGGGGTTGGAAATAGGAGGGAGGTAGGGAGGGCCGGGGGGTGGGCTGGAATGGGAGTAAAAGCCAGAAAACTATACTTGAACAACAATTAAAATAAAAAAAAATAAAAAGTTGTCAAAGGACCTCAACAGACACTTCTCTGAGGAGGACATACAGAGGGCCCAGAGACATATGAAAGGATGCTCAGCATCACTAGCCATCAGAGAGATGCAAATTGAAACCACAAAGAGATGCTACCTCACACCAGTCAGAATGGCCATCATAAACAAATTAACAAGCAACAAGTGCCGGTGAGGTTGTGGAGAAAAAGGGGGACCCTAATACACTACTGGTGGGAATACAGACTGGTGTAGCCACTGTGGAAAACAGTATGGAATTTCTTCAAAAAATTAAAAAATGGAACTGTCTTTTGACCCAGCAATTTCAATGTTGGGATTATACCCTAAGAATCCTGAAACATCAATTCAAGAGAACCTATGCACCCCAATGTTTGTAGCAGCACAATTTACAATAGCCAAGTGCTGGAAGCAACTTAAGTGCCCATAAGTAAATGAGTGGATCAAAATACTAAGTGGTACATTTACACAATGGCATACTACACAGCAGAAAGAAGAAAGGAGCTTCTGTCCTTTGCAACAGCATGGATGGAACCAGAGAGTATTAAGCTAAGTGAAATAAGCCAGGTGGTGAAAGACAAATATCATATGATCTCACCTATAAGTGGAACCTAATGAACAAAATAAGCAAGCAAAATATAACCGCAGACATTGAAACAAAGAACAGACTGATAGTAACCCGAGGGACAAGGGGAGGAGGATAACAGGGAAAGAAGGCTTAGGGTCATCAAGAAACGTGTATGAAGGACACATGGACAAAGTTAAAGGGGGGTAGGATTGCAGGTGGGATATTGGTTGGGTGGGGCCGGGGAGAGTGATGGGGGGAAAATGGAGACAAGTGTACTTGAACAACAATAAAAAACTATGACAACACAAGTACACAAATATTAAAAAACAAACAAACAAATAAGTGGAAGCATATACCATCATTATGGATAGGAAATATTAACATAAGTAATTGTCCATGGTACCCAAAGCAATCTATCAGTTCAACACAATTCTTATTAAAATACCAAATGCATATCTCACAGATCTAGAACAAATATTTCACAACTTTATAGAGAACCACAAAAAACCTTGAATTGCCTCAGCAATCTTGAGAAAGAAAACACAAATGGAGGAATCAAGCTACCTGGTATCAAACTATACTACAACGTCATAGTAATAAAAAAAAAGCATGGCATTGGCACAAGAACAGGCATATAGGTTAATGAAACAGAACACAGATAACAGAAATAAACCTATATTTTTATGGTCAATTACTATTTGACAAAGGAATCAAGAACATACAATCAGCTAAAGGCAGTCTGTTGAATAAACGGTGTGGGAGAATTGGACAGATATATGCAAAAAATGAAACTGGGCCACCATCTTACATAATACACAAGAATAAACTCAAAATGGATTAAAGACAACAAAAGAAAAAAGCAAACAAAATATAACCAGAGACATTGAAATTAAGAACAATCTAACAATAGCGAGAGGGGAGGGACTGTGGGGGTGAAGGGTTTTCGGGAACTACTATAAAGAGCACATAGAAAAAAACAAGGGGGAGGGTGGAAGCAAGGGAGGGAGGTGGGTTTGGATGGGGTGGCAGGGAGTGGTGGGGAGAAAATGCAGACAACTATAATTGAACAACAATATAGTGATTTGTGAAACAAAAAAATGGAGCAAAAACTCAAATGTTAAGTTATGAAGCCATAAAAGTCCTGGAAGTAAACATAAGCAGTAAAATTTCATACAGTTTTCATAGCAATATTTTTGCAGATCTATCCAAGTAAGAGAAATAAAGCAAAAAAAATAAAAAATAAACCGATTGGACTACATAAAATGAAAAAGCTTTTGTGCATCAATTGCTACCTTAAGGGATTCAGGAAGACTCTTCCTCAAGGATCTCTCCAGTGCCTGAAGCATCTGGGCACCTTGCACTTGCAACATCATGGAAGATACCTTAGCCTAGAGAAATAAATAAAAAACAACCAGGAATGAGGAAAGCTGGAGGAGATTCCAAAACAAATAGTAGCAAGTTTTATGCTAATGGCCAAAACCCGTTGGGTGTTTCTTTAGTGATGTCACCTTCTCTAAGTCCTCAGTAACTCCAAGGAAGGACAAAAATGGCAGGAAGTACAGAGGGCACGTTCTGAATTTTTTTGTGTTCACTTTCATACACTTTGAAGAACTCCAAGTTGCACATTAGTTCAACAGGCACATTAAAAAATATATAATATCTTTTGAAATTTAGTTCCTATCAGTGATTCTCAACTCTTCAAGAAATAAGCCGTATAACTTGGGAAAGTAACTTACACTCTGTGCCTTGGTTTCTTCAAAGGTAGATAGGATAATATCACTAACTTACAGAATTTTTGGAAGGATTAAATGAGTTAATACATTAAATGAATAAATAAGTGCTTAGAAGAGCAACTGACATTTAGTAAGCACTGAACCTGTTATTTTATTACTACTGCCATTCTTTCACCTTTCTGTTCTCTTATTTCCCTTCATTTTCTTCTCTTACTCTCCTTCCTTTTCCTCCTTCTCCCCATTTGAGTTAATGTGCTGTGTATTGTGTGATGCTAGAAAACACAAACAGGAAATTTAATGAGCTCAGAAAACAAATCAATGAACAAAAAGGGTACTTTAATGAAAATGAAACTTGAACACATAACCAAACAGAAATTCTGGCCTGAAGAACTCAATAATAGAGGTCAAGAATGAACTTGAGACCATAGGAAATACAGTGGACCAGATGGAGAAGGGTGATATGGAAAATAGAAATTTAGAAATGATGCAGAGGGAACAAGAGAGAGACTTGAGCATAAAAAAATGAAAGAACTCTATGAGAACTATCTGACCCCATCAGAGTGAGCAATATAAGAACAATAGGCATAGTAGAAGAACAAGTGAGGAAGAAGGGCATGGAGAACCTGTCCAAACAAATAGTTGATGAGAACTTCCCAAGCCAATGGAAAGAATTAGATCCTCAAGTATAAGAAACAAACAGGACACTTAGTTTCCTCAATATAAAAGGCTTTCTTCAAGGCACATCCTATTAAATCTGTCAAAAATTAATGACAAAGAAAGAATTCTCAAGGCAGCCAGAGGAGAGAAGAAAGTAACCAATAAAGGAAAGCCCATTAGGTTATCATCAGACTTCTCAACAGGAGCTCTAGAAGCCAGAAGAGAATGACCAAATATTCAAACTACTGAAAGAGAGAAATTACCAGTCAAAAAATAATATATCCAGCAAAGTTATCCTTTAAATATGAGGAAGAAATAAAGACTTCTCCAGACATATAGAATCTCAGCTTGTTGGATGCAAGTTTCATTCCCAGTCAGTGCATATGTCTAGATTGCAAGTTTGGTTCCAGCTCAGGGCATGTGTGAGAGGCAACTGATTGATGTTTCTCTCTCACACTGATGCTTCTCTTCCTATTTTTCTTCCCCCTTCTCCCTCTCTCTAAAAATAAATAAATAAAATATTTATAAAGAACAAAGTATAAAAAGTCACAAAAGATCACCTCCAAGAAACTTACAGCATAAACAGAGATAGTTCGTGATGACAAAAACAAAAAAGGGGTCGGGATATCGATCTCAGTTTGCAAAGGAAGATGGAAGGCAGATGCATTCAATAGGAAAAAGACTATGTATATATGAAAATTTATTTTTTCATAAACGTAAGAGTAACCTCACCAATCCTTGCTCTCCCCAAAACACTGAGTCACATAGTTAAAAAAATAGGTAACAGGGAATAGAAGTCTGGAGTACCACCAAACAAAAACAACAAACAGAAACACAAAGGAAAAGAACCAATGATGGTATAGAACTACCAGAAGATAAAGGACAAAATGTCTGTAGGACACTGTCATCCATCAAAAATCACCCTAAATGTAAATGAACTGAATTCACCAATAAAGAAGCACAGAGGAGAAAACTGGGTCAAATATCAAAACCCCACTATATGCTGCCTTCAGGAGACACATCTAAGCGGCAAAGATAACATTAGACAAAGTGAAAGGGTGAAAATGATTCTCCAAGGAAATAACATCCAGGGAAAAGCAGGGGCAGCCATACTTTTATTTGACAAAACAGATTTCAACATAACAATGGTGCCAAGAGAGAAAGATGGATGTTTTATAATGACAAAGGGCACAGTACATGAAGAAGACATAACACTCCTCAGTATATATGCACCCAGTCAAAGAGCACAGATACATATAAAGCAGCTACGAACAGAACTAAAGGTAGAAACTGGCAAAACCACAATCATAGCTGGGGATATAAATACTCCATGGACAGCTCTAGACAGATCTTCCAAACAGAAAAAAAAATCACCTTTAAATGACACATTAGACCCAATGGACATAATTTCCATTCATGGAGCCTTTCATTCTAGAACACCGGATTATACATTCTTCTCTAGTACACATGGAACATTCTCAAGGATAGACCATGTGTGGGGTTACAAAACTAGCCTCAACAAATTCAATAATATTGAAGTCATACCAAGCATATTCTCTGACCACAATGCTTTGAAATTAGAAATCAGCTACAAAAAAGTAAGTAAGGAAACCCATAGATATGTGGAGATTAAACAACACCCTACTAAAAAATGACTGGGTCAAAGAAGAAATAAAAAGTGAGGTCAAAATATAGAGAGAAACAAATGTGAATGACAAGATAACATATTAAAACTTCTGAGATGCAGTGAAAGCAGTAATAAGAGGGAAGTTTATATCACTACAGGAGTATCTCAACAAACATGAGAAATTCCAAGATAACAACCTAACATTACTTCTTAAAGAACTAGAAAAAGAAGAACCAGAGCAACACATTTATTAATTGAGCTCAAATATTAATTGAGCATAGAGACTTGGGTTTATTTCTGGGCTCTTTATTCTGTTCCATTGATATACATGTCTGTTCTTATGCCTGACTGTTTTGATTACTGTGGGCTTTTAACATAGTTTAAAACAAGTATTGTGATCTCTCCTACCTTGCTTTTCTTTCTCAAAATTGCTGCAGCTATTTGGGGTTGGTTATGGTTCCACATAAATTTTTGAAATGTTTGTTGTATACCTGTGAAATATGTCATTGGTATTTTAATAGGGCTTGTATTGAATCTATAAATTGCTTTGGTTAGTATGGATATTTTAATGATGTTAATTCTTCCATCCATGAACATTGTACATGCTTCCATTTGTTTGTGTCTTCCCTAATTTCTTCGGTGTTGTGCAGTTTTCTGAGTACAGGTCTTTTACCTCCTTAGCTAGGTTCATAGGTATTTTATTTTTCTTGTTGCTATAGTAAATGGGAATTTTTCCTGAATTCTGTTTCTGATATTTCATTGTTGGTGTACAAAAATGCCATCAATTTCTGAATATTTACTCTATATCTTGCTGTTTTGCCAAATTCACTTATTAGGTCAAGTAGTTTTTGGTGGAGTCTATAAGATTTTCTATGTATACTATCAGGTCATCTGCAAACAATGACAGTTTTCTTCTTTCTTTCCAATTTGGATATCTTTTATTTTTTTTAATGAAAAAAATTGTTGTTGAAGTACAGTTGTCTGCATTTCCACCCCCCCCAGCAGTCCCCACCACCCCAGCCATTCCTCCTCCCTCCCCTGATCCCATTCCCCCCTTGTTTTTTTCCATGTGTCCTTTATAGTTTTTCCTGAAAAGCCTTCCCTCTTTTCCCCCCTTTATTTCTTTTTCTTGCCTGATTGCCGTGGCTAGGACTTCCAATACTGTGTTGAATAGAAGTGGTGAAAGTGGGCATCCTTGTCTTGTTCCTGATCTTAGTGGGAAAGTTTTCAGTGTTTGCCTATTGAGTATGATGTTGGCTGTAGTTCTCTCCTATATGGCCTTTATTCTGTTGAGGAATGCTCCCTGTACTCCCACTTTGCTGAGTGTTTTTATCATAAATGGATGCTGTTCCTTATCAAATGCTTTTATCTGCATCTAATGATATGATTGTGTGATTTTTTGTCTTTCCTTTTGTTTATGTGTTGTATTATGATTATTGATTTGCAAATATTGTACCATCCTTGCATCCCTGGAATGAATCCCATTTGGTCATGGTGTATGATCTTTTTAATGTATTGTTGGATGCGGTTTGCCAGTATTTTGTTGAGAATTTTGGCGTCTATGTTCATCGGCGATATTGGCCTGAAGTTTTCTTTCTTTGATGTGTCTTTATCTGGTTTTAAAATTAGGATGCTGCTGGCTTCACAAAAAGAGTTTGGGAGTCTCCCATCTTTTTGGATTTTTTCGAATAGTCTGTAAGGGATAGTGGTTAGCTCTTCCTTAAATATTTTGTAAAATTCTCCTGTGAAACCGTCTGGTCCAGGGCTTTTGTGTGTCAGGAGTTTTGTGATTACTGCTTCAATTTCCTGAGCTGTTATTGGTCTGTTCAGGCTTTCCACTTCTTCTTCATTCAGTTTAGAAGACTATATTTTTCTAGAAATTCGGTCATTTCACCTAGGTTTTCAAATTCCTTGGCATATATTTCTTCATAGTAATTTCTTACAATCCTTTGAATTTCTGTGGTATCAGTTGTAATCTCTCCCTTTCATTTCTGATTGTGTTTATTTGGGTCCTCTCTTTTTTTTTCTTGATGAGTCTGCTTAAAGGCTTGTCAGTTTTGGATCTTGCTGCTGTAACTCACTGAACAATGTGTAAACTGGTGAGTGAATATTCCTGTTTTTTTCCACGGGTGTGTCCCCTGTCATTTTTGCAGATGTTTGTCACCAATTTGAAGAAAACAACACATGCCTAATTTCCCCTTGCGTCTGCTTATTGATGGGAGAAGATAAGACTTTTGTTCAGCACATGAATGCTTCATTATACATTGAAAATGGCTGCTAAGTGTATTAAGATTCACTTAGTTAATGTGAATGGCACCTTTTAACCACCTGGCTCTAGTCCATCTTCCTAGATACTCCTGTCACTACTCCTCACCACATGAGACCATGGAGACATTTCTCCAACACAGTCTCTGCTTTAGCTCCTCCGGCCCATCTGCATTTTACCCTTGTTTGGGATTCCTGAATTCCATTCTTCTACATGCAGCTCCCATTCATTCTTCAAAGTCTAGCTAAGGGTCTGTCATCTCTAGTGACTCCTCCCTTTGCTGTGCTCTCAAATGTGCGCATCTCTCTACTAGATAGCTTTTGGCATTGAGCTAGACTTTACTTTCCTACCCATGAACTCCTTTGAGGCCCGAAGCTCACCTTACTTATTATCCTATGTGCTTACTATGATGTATGGCACACAGTATGCCATCAGTAAATGGATGGTAAATGACCGAATGCATGAAATACTTGTATTATCCTGTCTGTCTAGTCACTCCTTCCAAAGCATAGATTAAGTAATTATTAACTCTATCATAGTATATGTATGTTCTGCATGTAGTATGCTGGGCATGGGAAAGGCCTTCAACTACTTTATGCTAAGTTATGTCTTGAAAAAGTCCAGACTAGTACAGAGGTACCTTTGTCCTCTATCTAAAGGTCTTAGGTCTTGACAAATAAGACATTTCTGAAGGCTGATCTTACCTTGTGTCCAGAGGCAACTTACAAGGAAGTTACATGAGTATGAGATACAATATAGAGTTTGATGTCAAATCTGTGGGGTGTGATATTACTGTGTTTCCTGAGAAGTGTAGAGTTTGGAACCACCGTTCAAAGATGTACATACAAACTAACAACCAAGTGTGGTGCCCCAGAAATAGGGTAGACTGAAAATAACTGAGACAGAGATTCTGACACACTCACTGTGAGCTGGCAGAATTGGACCACAGGTAATGTCCTTGAGAGTGAACATCAGAACTTTTGACTCAGTCATTCCACAAGTAGAAAATCAACACTAACAAAATAATCAAAATAAGAGCAAAGCTCTAAACGAAGTTTGATAAAGTCCACAAACATTAACAAGTTCTGAGCAAAATCCCAATGTCCAGCAATAGGGAAAGGAAATATAAAATAGGATCTGTTGGGGTGATGCAACTCTAAGACATTAACATAATACATGTACGTACGGGCACATGAGAAACTGTTCAAATGCAATGAGAAAATGTAGGACATTAAAACAGTTCACAGACCACATAGATAAACCTAAATGTAACAGAGAACACAGAAAAATAAAGCAAGATTGTGGTAGTAGCAGTATAGATAAAATCTTTGAAGTAAATTTGTTTATTATGTGATATAAATAAATGATAAATTTTGTTTGTATTCTTGTCTTTATTCATGTACTTATTTCATCTCTGGCTTTCATTACAACAACCTTTTTATCAGTTACACACAGGAAAAATACCTGCAGAATGTACACCTGGAACCTGTATAATTTTACTAAGCAATGTCACCCCAGTAAATTCAATAAGCATAAATAAAAATTAAATGACCCTAAATATAAGTATAAAAAATAAATAAATGCTAGCTTCCTTTTTCAATCTACTAAGAACACACCCTATATAATACCATCTATAGTATGGTATTATTTGGGGGTCAAATGTGGGGTCACCTGTCTTTCAGGTGAAATGTTCTTACTAGATTGAGATTTCACAATCTTATGGAGAAACTCAGGCAAATAGCTACCCCTGGCCACACACAGCGCTATGCTCTGCCACAGACAGAGCCTCAGGGTGGCATTCCAGGTATGCAGGACAGGGTTCCCACTCCAGACACTTTCTGGGAGTTAATCCCACCTCTTAAAATGGAAGCTCGTTCATTGGTGGTGACAGGAGACCACTCACCCATGACAGAATTCAACAGAAATAACTTCACAAAATAGTCTCCCATTTCATTTGAGGGAAAAGTGACATTCCTACTGGTTTTGTGATAGTGTCATTTTGGTAATATATGAGAACTCTACATTTCTTAGAACTGAGTACTGAAATGTGTAGTACTTGTGTCTGAGATTTGTTTACAATACCATAGCAAAGGAAAAGGGACAGATGGATGAAACAAATGGTACAGAATCTTGCTGGTGTGGAGAAGATGACAACTTCTTTCCTCCTTATTAGAGCATATTTGAAATCCTCATAATTAAGTTATATGTTCTGAGGGAAACTAAGGCCAGCATTTCCTCATCTGTAAAAAAGGGTTCAATTTGTTCATTTTTTCGTTATGATTAATTTCTGATGCAAGTAAAATCCACTGAAAAACAAAGAAAAAACATAATGTACCCAGAAGGATTAAATATGATCATAGTTGCAGTGTCTCCGCACAGTGAGTGCTCCATTTACCCACCTACTTCCAGAAAGTGCCCAGATCTCTCCTCATTCATTCACCAGTTCAGATCAGAGACCTGCACAGAGTTGTTCGTAGTACCTAACAAGTTGCCCTTTACAGAGCAGGTGCCAGAAGTATGTTTCTTAAGTTGATGTTACTCCTTTTCCTTAGGTGTATGGTGTTACTACTGAACATACACAGTGAGCATTTTGGTTTGTGTCACTTAAGTGGAGAGGATGTCACCAAGCAATGAATATCTTTTGCGGGGCATAAGGAGGATATGAGTCCTTACCTGGGGAGCTGTCGCCACACCAATCTGCAGGTATCCCCAGGAACAAATGAGAAGGGCAGACTTTTCAATAACAAAACTTCCTTCTAATGCAGGCAGTTCAATAGAATCTTACAGAGTTAAGAATGTCTCCTCCAGGAACAGCTGAGCTGAGGCTTGTAAGGTAGACCTTGCACAGAGCAAAACCTTCTTATATCAGCTCGTGTAGAATCCAGGCCTTCCTCCCAGAGTTCCACAGTAAAGGGGCTGACTGTACAAGGTTCACAGGCTGACAAGGGGGCATTTGTGCCAACCCCAACCTGTTATGCCAGGCTGCTCTTTGCCCCAACTGGCTCTGCAATGTGTGTGAAACCAACGGCTGGATACTGAAAGGAGAGCCATTACAGAGACAGTACCTCCTTCCTTCCCTTCCCACTCCCCAGTACCAGCAGTAGGAGCAAGGCGGTAGGAAAGATAGAGATGAGAGCTCATTGGCAGAACCTGATCTATTTTCTTGCACACATGGAAACAGAAAATCAGCTATATGGCATGATTAAAACTGTTTATATTTTTCTTTTACAATATAAGCTGTACCCTCTCCCCTGCCCATTCTGAGGCTGCACTTAGACACCCCAACATGGCACTATGTGGGCACTTCTTAGTCTCACTTTTACAGAGAAGAAAACCAAGGCTCAGTGTGGCTGAATTCGATAGCTTTTAAACCCAGACCTCTTCACTCCAATGTGCTCAGTACCCCACATTAACACTTGTTGTACCATCCTCTGAAAAGAAAGGGGCTCAGAAACAATATTTTGAGTACCAACTCCACTGTGTGAAACAAGCAAGGAGGGAAGTTTGACACTATCTGTGTCTTGTCCTCCTTACCCTAACCCTTCTTTGCCATGTTGCTGGACACTTTCATTATGGAGGGAAGAAGAGTCACTCTAATCAGAGGGGCAGGGAAGGGGTGGCTAGTGTCTAGACAGAAAGTAAAAAGAGCTTGCATACTCCTTCAGTCCCTGCACCGTCCCAGCACAGGTTTGCACATATTTTTTCTCTGCCCTTTCTAGGAGTCTTGCTCCTCCTAGAATATGAATTCTCTATCTCATCTCCTGGATTAGAGTCATGACCATTCATTACTCTTTCTCCAAGGACAAAGGACAATGAAATTATTCTGTCACTACCAACAGAGTGGACCCCTGGGCTCCAGTAGGGTCCATATCTCAAAAATGTTGTTTACAACAAAAGAGTAAGATTCTCTTATATCCCCGTACTAAAAATCAGATCCCTAGTCTTCAGTCTCCTTCAGCTGTCACCCTCGCTCAGTCACTCAGAAGATTTCAGTGTCTCTACCACTTCCCTTGTATCTTAAACTAGTTTCTTAACCTCTCTGGGTTGTTTCCCCAGCTGTCAAGAGTGTTTGTGTACCAGATAACCAAGGATTTTTTTTCTGCTCTTCCTTGACTCTGTGGTTATCACATGAGATAATGAGTATAAATTTTCTCACATTCTTTGGGATCCCATACAAGGAAAAAGGTTCAGGAGCTCTGGTGTCAGTCTTTACCTACATATTACTTATGACCTATGTGATGGATGAGGGGCTGGCAATGATGAGAGAAGCAGCCTGCCTAGCACAGTGGCTCAGAGAGAGGACAATGGGACCAAATTAACAGGCTTGGGATCCTGTCCACACCACTTACCTAACCCACCACATACCTCTGTTTCTCTGTGCAGAAAGAGCAGTAAATAATAGTACTTACTTTGTAGAGTTTTGAGGTTTTTTTCTGGGCTCAGTTTTTTGGGGGATGCTGGGGAGGGACGAATACTAATGTGTGGCAAGGATGTGGAGAAATTGGGATGTTTGTGCACTGTTGATAGAAAGGTAAAATGGTGTAGCCATACACCAATGGTGTAGCCATATAGCTGATTGTAGCCACTATTACAATCAGTATGATGGTTAGAGAAGAAAAATACAGCTACCCTATGGTCTGGCAATTCTATTTCTGGGAATATATCCAAAGGAATTGCCATCAGGATCTTGAATAGGTATCTGCACCCCCATGTTCATTGCAGCCGTACTCACAATAGCCAAGATGTGGGAGCAACCTCAGCGTCCACTGACAGATGAATTGATCAAGAAAATGTGGTCTGTACATACGATGGAATATGACTTAGCTTTCCAAAAGAGGAAAATCCTGCAATATGTGGCAACATGGGTGAAACTTAAGGGCACCGTGCTAAGTGAAAAAACCCAGTCGGAGAAGGACAAAGAGGCAGGATTCCACCGAGATGAAGCATTGAAAGTAACAACACTCACAGAAGCAGAGTGGAGTGGTGCTTACCAGGAGCTGGGGAGAGGGAAAGATAGTGAGTTAATGTCCAAAAAGTAAAAAGTGTGTGTTGTGCAAGACGAAAGAGTTTAGAGATCTGTTGTACGACATAGTGTTTATGCATAACAATACTGTGTTAAACACTTAGATATTTGTTAAGATGTTATATGTTTTTAAAACCACAATTAAATGCATAAATAAATACTGCAAAGCAGTCAGACACAGAAAGGCACATTTTCTGTAGGCATCGATGATAACAAGTACCATTGATTTGTCTCCTGAAAAATGCTTCAGAGAAAACATCCATATCATTTCACATCAAGTGAAGATATCCTTCCAAAGTTTAGGCAAAATAAAGCCATGTTTTCTTTTTCTTTTTTAAGCCCATTATTTATTTCCCATTGATCTTTGTTTTCTTTTTCTTGTTGACACTATTACAGACGTCCCTCTTTTTCCTCCTCTTTGGCCAGCTTCACGCAGTCAGTGCCTCCCCTTCCCTGGGCGTTTCACCAGTGAGCTTCACCACCCCAGTGCGCTTCACCACACTGTGGTCTGTGTCCGCGGGCGGTGCATACCTGTTCTTCAGCTAATCCCTTCACCTTGTTTCTTGCAGTCCCCGTCCTCCTCTCCGACAGTTCTCAGTCTGCTGCATGTATCCAAGCTTCTGTTCTATGTTGTTCATTAGTTTATTGTGCTCGTTAGATTACAGATACAAGGGAGGTCATATGGTATTTGTGCTTTAATCATTAAAATCACCAGGTTACGGTTTACCAGGTAGAGGCTGCGATAGGGTTGAGGGGATATGGAGGCAGAACTGCAGGGGCAATTGTAAGAGAGTAAAGTGGAGGGCGCAACTTTTCACCTTCTTGGTTTATGGTGCAGACTGTTAACTAAGCTCTTTAATTTTTTTTTAATTATTGTATTACAATTGTCCTAAATTTTCCTCCTTTGCCCTCCTCCCCCAACCCCACTCCCCTCTCCCACACTGAATCTCCACACCCTTCTTAGCTCCCCCGAGTACGCTTTCTGTCTTTTTTTAAAAACCTAGTGCCCGCAAACTAAAAGGCTGCCCTAGTGGGAGCAGATTTTCCCACTCTTCTGCGCGCCGCCTCGTCGACCAGCAGAGGGCAGAGCCGGCCGCAGCTGCTGCCTGCCCCAGCTGTTTCCTTCTCCGGGAAGTTAAACAATACAAACATAACGCTTCCTGTGAGTATTTATTAAATCCACACGAAAAGTGAAAGGAATGTTTCACGTCTTTAACAACTGAGAACACAACTGACAGCGTTTTCTTCAATTTCCTGGTCGCGAGCGCAGCCTCCGAGGTTCTGCAGACAGCCAGCTTCCTCCCCATATTGCTGTTAAAAGAAACACATACCGTAAAACTTACCATTTTAACTTCCACTTGAAGCCTTAAGAATATTACCATTGTAGTGCCACCGTGACCATCCTCCCTCTCCAGAACTTTTCCATCTGGTAAAACTGAGACCGTGCTCCCATTAAACAGCTCCCGCCGCCCCTCCCTCCCGTGTCTGGCAACCACCGCTCTGCTTCAGTTACCTCCGCTACATAAGTCCGAGGCATCGGCAAGTGGGAGGACCTCCACCCTTAAACCCGTGCTTCTCAACTCGAGGTGATTTCGCCTCCAGGGGATATATTATCAACAAGCGGAGACGTGTTTACTGGTCATAACTGGAATGGAGGTGCTATCGGCATCCCGTGGTAGAGGGCAGGGAGCCTGCTACACATCCTATAAATGCACGGGACTGTCCACTCTCAAGTGCCCCTTGTGCCAAGGTTGAGAAACTCTGCTCTAAACTGAGCTTCCCCTCTCTTGACTCGCCAAGAAGTTAAGCCTCGGTTGTTGGCTTTTCTGTGTGTGGGGACCTCATCCCCAAGTCCATAGCCTAATTCCAGACCTAGATGGACCAAAAGGGAGCAGGTTCTTGATCCAGGTGACTGCCTTCAGTCCAGTGCTCTCTTTGCTGCACAGTGCTGAGGTTTAGTGCTGCTTCCCTTGAAATGCTGGGGCAGGAAACTCTCCCTGCTGCCTTGTCAGAACCAGGAAAACCATGTCTCCACACCACCAAGCAGACTCTCCTGGGAGACTATTGCGTGAACTGCACTTCAGGCATCCTGAAACAATGGGCCCAGGTCAAGTGAAGCAGGAGGCACCCATGCTGTACTGCCCCCCTCCCTCAACATCTATCTCTTCTCAAAAAACACCCACCCCCTTGGGTCTGGGTTCTGCCCCTCTCCACAAACTAGTCCAGGCTCTTCCCATCATGAACCACTTGACTTCAACTTTTACAATCAAACACACAACCTCTTTATAGTTGGGGGGGGGGGGTTGGATGGATTTAAGAAGCTCTGCTTTTAGAAACAATATTGAATCATTTTCCCTGGTGTGGAGTGAGAAGAGCACAGGCTAATATAGTTAGTCCTTTTCTTAGTAACTCTCCCTGTGATATCACTGTGTTATGTTTAACCTAATGTTTCATGTATATATTTGTGTAAGTGTTTCATGTACCAATAAAGCAGCAATCAGAGGAGAGGATAATTTCTACAGACCTAATGAGCAAAGTGTACTTGCTGATTATTAAGAGAAAGAGAAAGGAATAAGTCATAATGCTCGGGAAATATTACCCCTTCCAGGAAAATCTGGCAAGGCTCTACTGATTCATGCACTAGGAGTTCCAAGACATGCCATTTGGGGCAACATGTAGCTGATGAAAGTGTCATGGACATTCCCAGGAAGTGTGAGGAACTAAATGACATGGTGTATTGGGACTGCTCCAAAGCAAGATATCCAAGGGAAGCCCATCAATGCAGAGATCACAGTGGTAGACCAATATCACTGCTCCCCCACAGCCCACTCCTTTACTGATGATTGTGGTGACTAGTCATTCATTCTCTCTGCCCACCCACCCACTGTTCCAGCCACATCCCCAAGCACATCTGACACTTCACAGAGGCACGCAGTGCCATTGGTTCCAGGAACAAGGCATGCGAATATATTGCAGACTGTAACCCGTTCTCTGCATAATTTTGTTATTTTTGTCCACATGACAGTACAGAGGGAAGTCGAGTTTGTTCAGAGCCTGGGCCTGGGTATAGATGACATAAGAGACGAGGCCCTGGGACCGGTACTCAGGCACGGTGCCTGCCATTCGCATTTCTCCTGTCTGGTCCATTAGGGCCCAGGACACAGGGTTCCCCTTGGGCCCCAGAAGACAGTAGCTGGGGAAGTTCTGGATACAGCGCTCGATGAATCTTCGGCTCCTATCATTGCCACCATAATGCCAGAATTCATTCACCAGGGCAGCGTGGGTGACATCCAGGGAAGACAGCTTAAACATTTGCTCATTGCTATGGAGATTCCAAGAGAAAAGTAAAGGCTATGAATATTTATTATATTTGCTCTTATTTCTATTTTCTAAATTACATTTCTAAAAGTGATTAGTCTGTCTGCTTTGAAGAATATTGACTGCAGGGCAGCCAGAGTGAAAGCAGGAAGAGGAGATGGGAGGCTGATTCAGGAATGAGGTGTGAGTGGCGCAGTGACTTTTATCAGACTTACATGGGCTTAGGCTTGCCATCGCCAGGCGGTAGGTTCTTTACATCCAGTAGAGAAGGAATCAGTTTCTTTAAAGTGTCAAGTGCCACATAGAGAAAGCACTGTGTTTGTTCAGCTTTGAAGGATTTCATGGCTGCAAGACTTTGTATCACCTCATTCAGGCTGGACTGTGAACCTGTATGATGTTTTAAGGAGAAATGCAATGATTTCAGTACATTCTATGGAGATGCTTTCCAGTGGAGCAGGAAGTGTCTGCATTTACAGTCCCAAAACCTTGCTTCTGGCTTGGTGCTACTGCTGTGTGATTGGGGGTCACTTAGCAAGATTTGTGCAATGAACATGCTCAGAAATTTATTCAGCCATGGCCATACCATATTTGTGGCAATAGCAAGACAGAAACCAGATTTTAGGGCTATGTGATCATATAGTTTTGATAATCACAGAACATGAGTTACAAAAACTAGAGTAGCCAACATCTATTGTGCACCTACTATGTAGCCAGTGTGGTAGATTGCTGCAGGAATGACCCACTACTTGCCCATGCCTTCTTGTTTCCATTCCCTGGAATAGTTCCCTCCTACATTGCATCTGACCTTGGTCATATGACTTGCTTTCACTAATGGGACACAGTAAATATGATACAGGGAGAGGCTCACAAGTGTTTGCACATTGGGGTTGCTCTCTCTTTGTGCTCCTGATTACCTTGAGACCAACACCATATGAACTGGCTCAAGTTAGCCTGCTGAGGACTTGTGCTCTTATTATGTTGTCACCATAGTGGCTGGCACCAATAGCCAGAACCATCATTTAGACGTGCGAGTGAGGCCACACTATAGCAACCAGCCAAGAGTCCATCCATGAACAGGCTGCAGCTGCATGAGTAAACCCAGGTGAAATGAGCAGAAGAACTGCCTTGCAAAGCCCAGCCCAGATGTTGATTCACAGAATTACGAGGCTTGTTATGCAGTGAAAGTTAATTGACACATCCAGGTATTGTGCTAAGCAATTCCTATTCAAGACTTTATTTAATCTTTTCAGCACCCCTTGTGTTTTAGGTGCCATTATGATCCTCATTTGTATATATGACCTCAGTAAGGATAATTCATGTGGTATGATCACACAGCAAGTAACAGACAAATGCCATCATAGGAAGTCTGATTCTGGAGGGCATTCCTGTAAACATGACAGTTGTCCTTCATGACCTGGGAGGTGCTTTATGACACGAAAGCATGGAAGGCCCTCAGGGAAGCTCTGCTCTGGCACCCAGTCAACATAAGTCATGTGGATATGTCTGCAAAATATGCCCTAAATCCTTGGCCATCAAGGCATTATATTATGTTTCCCATTATGATGCCCACTGTTTGCAAGCTTTGAGGGTGTTTTTGTCAGTTTGCAGGAATAGTGGCAGCTGAGTCAGAAAATTCACTGCAGGCTAGGGTCTGGAACACGGAGAAAGGTGGTAGGGCCATAGCGGAAATTGTTCAAGACACAGAAGTGAGCCAGCACACTTCCCATTCCCCTTTACTTACTTTGGATCTGCAAATGCTGTTTCCAGTTAATGACTTCTGGTGAGCCAAGCAGTTCCTGACAGTTCTCGGGGTCCCTGGAGTAGATTTGGTAAGTATTGGTGTAGTGATCGAAGTCATCTACCATCTCCTGTTGTCATTGGGGAAAGGGAAATAAAGCAAATTTCATGTAGTTCATGATTGAAGTATTTTTTTCCCCTAAATCCATTACACCATATTTTTAAGTACTGAAATATTTGTATTTTTATTCGTGCATTACAATTATTCATTTTTTAAAAAAGTATTGTATTGATTATGCTATTACTGTTGTCCCAATTTTCCCCTTTCCCCCACATTCCATCCAGCAACCACCTCTTAGTTCATGTTCATGGATTATGGATATAAGCTGTTTAGTTTCTCTAGTTCCTATACTGTTCTTAACATCCTGCTGTCTATTTTGTCCCTACCAGTTATGCTTCTTAGCCCTTCCCCTTTCCCCCCCCATCCTCCTCCATTTCCCTCTCAGCTGATAACACTGCATATTTATGATCTGTTCCTGTTCTGGGGTGTTATTTTTTATTGAGTTATTTTTTAAAATTTATTTTGTTGATTATGCTATTACAGTTGTCCATTTCCCCCCTTCACGCCCCTCCACCCTGTACACCCTCTCCCATCCACAGTCACCTTTTTTAATTCATGTCCATGTGTCATACTTATAAGTTCTTTAGCTTCTACATTTCTCATACTATTCTACCCTCCTCCTATTTTCTACCTACAATCTATGCTACTTATTCTCTGTACCTTTTCCCCCTCTCTCCTCCTTCCACTCCCCCTGTTGCTAACCCTCCATGTGATCTCCATTTCTGTGGTTCTGTTCCTGTTCTAGTTGTTTGCTTAGTTTCTTTTGGTTTTGCTTTAGGTGTGGTTGTGAATAATTGTGAGTTTGCTCTCCTTTTACTATACATGTTTCTTTTTAATCTTCTTTTCTTAGATGAGTCCCTTTAACATTTCATAAAATAAGGGCTTGGTGATGATGAACTCCTTTAACTTGACCTTATCTGAGAAGCACTTTATCTGCCCTTCCATTCTAAATGAAAGCTTTGCTGGATAGAGTAATCTGGGATATAGGTCCTTGCCTTTCCTGACTTGGAATACTTCTTTCCAGCCCCTTCTTGCTTGTAAGGTCTCTTTTGAGAAATCAGCTGACAGTCTGATGGGAACTCCTTTGTAGGTGACTGTCCCCTTATCTCTTGCTGCTTCGAGGATTCTCTCCTTCATTTTTTACCTTGGCTAATGTAATTGTGAAGGACCTTGGTGTATTTCTTCTTGGGTCCAACTTCTTTGGGACTCTCTGGGCTTCCTGGACTTCCTGGAAGTCTCTTTCCTTTGCCAGAATGGGGAAGTTCTCCTTTATTATTTGTTCAAATATGTTTTCAATCTGTTGCTCTACCTCTTCCCCTTCTGGCACCCTTATAATTTGAATGTTGGAACGTTTAAAGATGTCCTGGAGGTTCCTAAGCTTCTCCTCATTTTTTTGAAAAAAATTTTTTAAAGATTTTATTTATTTGTTTTTAGAGAGGGAAGGGAGGGAGAAAGAGAGAGAGAGAGAAACATCAATGTGCAGTTGCTGGGGGTCATGGCCTGCAACCTAGGCACGTACCCTGACTGGAAATCGAACCCGTGACACTTTGGTTCACAGCCCACGCTCAATCCACTGAGCTTTGCCAGCCAGGGGTTATTTTGAATTCTTATTTCTCCATTCTTTCCTGTTTGGTTGTTTCTTTCTTCCCTCTGGTCCACTCTATTGTTTTGAGTCCCAGTTTCCTTCCCATCACTATTGGTTCCCTGTGCATTTTCTTTCATTTCTTTTATGGTAACCTGCATTTGCTTATCTAATTTGCAACCAAATCAACCAGTTCTGTGAGCTTCCTGATTACCAGTGTTTTGAACTGTGCATCTGATAGATTGGCTATCTCTTAGTCACTCAAAAGGATGAGTTCTGGGGCACTGATTTGTTTTTTCTGTTTGAGCCATCTCTCTCTCTCTCTCTCTCTCTCTTTTTTTGGTCTGGTAGCTGCTGTTACGGTGAGGGGCAGAGCCTCAGGTGTTCACCAGGACTGGGCACCCCAGTAGTTAGATTGTGACATTGTATGTGAGGGCGGGGTCGAGAGGGAACAATGGCGTTCTCTGTTGGACCTCAGTCCCTTCCCTGGGATATCCTGGGTTGCACGCTCTGCCCTGCTCCACAATCGCCGCCTTACTGGGTCTGCCAGCTGCTGCTTGCATACTCAGGGTCCACCTGCTGCGATCTTGCGTGCCCCAGATGCCTTATGCACTCCCGGTTGCCTTTTGCGCCAAGACTCGTGCCCTGGCTGCTAGTCTCCGCCCCTCCTATCAGTCTGGATGAACGGGTCTATTTCAACTTGTTGGCTGTCTGACTTCCATTCAGATAAATTCTCTATCAGTTCTGGGTGTTATTCTGCCTCTAAATTGTTGTTGTTCTAATCTTGGTTGTGCGTGGAGGTACAGTGCGTCCACCTATGCCTCCATCTTGCCAAAAGTCCTGATTCAGTTATTGATAGTTGTGAATTGTTGCTATTTTCATGTTCATAGTTGTGATCTTCTTTTTTTAAATAATTATCCTTAACTTTTCATGTAATAATTGCTTAGTGATGAGGAATTCCTTTAGATTTACCTTCTCTGGGAAGCCATTTATCTGCCATTCCAATCTAAATGATAGCTTTGCTGGATAGAGTAATCTAGGTTGTCAGTCCTTGCTTTTCATCAGTTTGAATACTTCTTGCCAGTTCCTCCTTGCCCACAAAGTTTATTTTTTATTTTAATTTTGAATTTCATTTGTTTTTGAACAAACACAAATATTTATAAAAAATTTAAATTATAGTTGGCATTCAATATTATATTAGTTCAGGTATATATCAGGTGTATATTATTAAATTAGAGGTGAGATTATTAGGAGGAAGGAGGTGCAGAAAATATTACCATGACTAATGCAGAATTAGGAAGCCTTTTTTTTAAAAAAAGGATTTTCTTTATTTATTTCTAGACAGAGTGGAAGGGAGTGAGAAAGAGAGGAGAAGCATCAATGTGTGGTTGCCTCTCACGTGCCCCCAACTGGGGAGCCAGCCTGCAACCCAGGCATGTGCCCTGACAAGGAATTGAACTGGAGATTCTTTAGTTCACAGGCCCTTGCTCAATCTACTGGGCTACACTAGCCAGGGCAGGAAGCCTTTTGAAAATATAGTTAGAAAATGTACACAACATACTCACAAGTCAGCAATGATACCACTATCACATTTAAAGTCACATTTAAGATAAAAGATAAAATAATTTTATAATTTCATTTTCATTTTTATTATTAACATAATTTTTTCATTTTATATATTTTTAATTTAGTGGCTTTATAGTATTTTTAGTTGTCTGAAAGGTATATACTACTTGCATTTTTCCAAATTTATAGTTTCACTGGATATTTTAAAGTGAGTTTAGAATTTTTGCTTTTACAATTGAGTTGTACTAATTTCTGTAAATTGTATGTGGAAATTCTAGTATTAAAATTTTTTCTTTTAAAAAGTCACCCCAACTTGCTGTCCTGTTTCACATCTTCCTACGTTTCCCTTGCTATGTCCTCTTTTCCTTGTCAGCCTAACAGAAATACAGTTACCTACACAATGTAGTTCCAGTGAAAGTTCCACTGAGATGTTCCTCTAACCTTATCCTGTGACCTCCAACTTCAGCCTCCATGGTGTAATCAGCTTTTGTCTGTGCTATTTCTGCATGTTGTTCCTCTTCTGTTCTTACACAATTTGCACTGAGTTGTAATGTACTCACTTATCTATCTTTTCCTCCAGGCTATGAGCTCTTCGAGCACAAGGACTTGTTCACCATCACTGAGATTCATTTGTGCTTCCCCTGCATCTTCACTGCCAGGTGCAGTGTAGGCACATACAACAAACAGGAGTGTATGCATTCTATATCTGCTCCTATATCTTACCTGCTCCTGAGGGCGGACTACCACTGTATTAAAATCAGGCCACTTGTCCACCAGGGCCTTTAGCTTGAATGGGTTTCCCTGGTTCATGTGGAAGACAGTCCCATAAACCTGCAGCATCCGAGAAAGTGAGAAAGTCAGCTTATTAGGAAGAGGTGGCCTAGTGCCCTGTTTGATCAGGACAAGGATCATTTCTATGAAATCATAAAATTTTATGGTGGCAAAAAGGCCAAATAGGGCATCTAGGTCAATCTCCCTATATTCAATACCTCTTTTTTTTAACCTCAGATGAGAAGACCTTTTCTTCTCCTCCAATATGAATCATGCATGCACATAATAGAATATTTGGGCAAAGAAAACTGGTGATTTTAACAACACCATTCTTTATTTGTGGATTTAATCTTATCTTTTGGCAGATTTTCTCCTATTCATACACATAGAGACCTACAAATTTTGAAACATAATATAATCTAGTGTGTGGTATTTTTCCCCCATTGACTATTCAGTGGACATAGTTCCATGTTCATAAACACAACGTTTTTTTATTATTTTCTAATGGCTGCATGAGATTCCTTTATATGAATGTACCACACCTTCATTTATTCATTTATGTATTGATGGTGATTTCAGCTATCTCCAAGTTTTCACTTTCACAAATAATTCTTTATAAAACATGCTTGCACAGAAGTCCTTGCATGGTGTAGGGTAAGTGGAGTCAGTCAGGCTCACTCACCTAGGTGTCTGGGCAAGTAAGAGAAGCACTTTTCCCACAACCTTGAGAATGGGCCCGATAAACTGTATTCCCATAACCTTGAGTGGGCCCGCACGCACAGAATCATGCTGTATTTTATAGTGGACTTGTGGTTTCCTGCTGTGTGACATGTGGCTTGCAGCATGCATAGATCACCCCCACCCTTGAATAAAGATATGTTAGGCCTTCCCACAGCTCCATGAATTTTCTTTAGTCTTCCAGAATCTGGTGTGAACATGTCTGGCCTTGAACGGTTGCAACATACAAGGGTACCTGGTATTTTCTTAGATTACACAGAAGGGTAATTGCTAGCTCAACAGTTATGCTTAGAAGTCTTTAATGTATATGTCCATAGAACCCTCTGGAAAGGTTAAATGAACTCCCACCATCAGCAGAGACTGCAGCATGGTACTCAAGAGAATGGGCTATGGGGCCCCATAGCCTGGGGCCAACCTTGGATCTCCACCCTCACCATATTGTACAAACTATTGAGAGGGAAAAGTGAGGGGAGAATGAATGAGATTGAGCCTGAGAACATTAATTTCCTTGTAGTTTGGGGGTTGGGGAATGCAGTAATGGTACCAACACGGGCCTCATGACAACTGTGAACATGAAGCCTCCACAGATAACAGCATGAAAACATGCTAGTGACCAAAACCCAAAAGCTGGTATGTATACACTTGAATGGTTTTCACCATAGAATATGTCTAAGGACTAATCCAGTGTCCTGCTCTCCTGAAACCCTCCCCCCTTATGAGCTGTTGATGTTTGACCAGGGAGAAATAGAGGGAGAATGAATCTCTCTAAATTGACTGAGTTTCTCTGAATGCATGGTGTTTTCAGCCATGAGTGGAGGCTTGAGTGGAAGCCACTTGTCCAACAGGGCCTTTCGCTTGAACAGGTTTCCCTGGTTCATGTGGAAGATGGTCCCATATAATATAAATTTCCCATATAGAAATTTAGTGTAGTTTAGCAAAATATTTAAAACTACTACTGTTCCTTAGTCCCATGGCCTAATTCATTAAAACTCCTTTTTGTTCTGCTGAACTTAGAATATGGTAAGTGAGGCATCTACTTTAAGCTAACTCAAGTGGAGGTGACAGTTGTAATAAAATGTATTTAATATTGAACACTTGGAAAAATGGACAAACTTTTCCTCAAATGAGATGCAAGTGTTGGATTCTAAGTTATACCTGCATTTGACTCAAAACAGGAATTTTAAAGAACACTCATGATGATTAACTTTTTACCTGGCAAAGTAATCTTTTAGGGAGAGCAAATTAAACATTAATATGTAGTCCCAAGCTTGGAAGAGAATCTGGGCAAATTTCCAGTGTTATGAAGAAATGTTCCTTGGAAGGAACAAGGGAATACTTTTTTAATCACAGTGTACGGAACAAAAGGTAATGTTAGGCAAACCTACGATCATATCAAGCATCACAATTCACAGTTTGTGTGATATTGTGCAAATCATTAACTGAGCCTCCATCTTCTCATCACTGACATGGATATACTAATGAATATCTTGTAGGGAGGGATGCAAATCAAATGACAGAAAACATGCAATAGTGCCTGGTACAGAATTAGTGCTTGCTAAATGTTCATCACTTTTCCTTTTTTTTTTCACATGAAGTTTCTATTCCTTACTCTCAAAATGTTCAATTGCCACCTTTTTTTGGAAGTCACTAATGCTCTTTGTTATTGAATTTATTGGGGTGACACTGGCTCACAAAACCATACAGGTTTCAAGTGTACAACTCAACAAAACATCATCTGCACACTGCATCATATGTCCATCACCCCAAGCAAAGTCTCTTTCTGTCCCCCCTCTTTGCCCAGCTCCACTATATGCCACCCCCTTTCCTTCTGACTATCACCACACTGTTGTCTATATGTACACACACACACACACACACACACACACACACACACACACACACATTGGACTAATTCCTTCTCCTCCCTTCATCCAGGCCCCTAACCCTCCTCCCCTCTGACAGCTATCAGTCTGTTCATGTATTCATGCCTCTGTTCTATTTTGTTCATCAGTTAATTTTGTTTATTAAATTCGACATGTAAGTGAGATTTTGTGATTTTGCTGATTTCTCACTGGCTTATTTCACTCAGCTTAATAATCTCCAGGTCCATTTATGGTGTCACAAAAGTTTACATAGCCTGTTTTATGGATGAGTGGTATTCCATTGTATAAATGTACCACAGAGCTTTTGTTCACTCATGTACTGATGGGTATTGGGCTGTTTTCAGATCTTGGCTATGGTAAATAAAGCTGCAATAAACATAGGGGTGCATATACTCTTTAAATTTAGTGTTTGGGGATTCTTTGGGTATATTCCCAGAAGTAGTATCACTGGGTCAAAAGGCAGCTCCATTTTTACATTTTGGAGGAAGCTCCTATTTTCCACAGTGGCTGCACCAGTCTGCATTCCCACCAACAGTTTACGAAGATTCCCTTTTCTCTACATCCTCACCAGCACTTGTTGTTTGATGATTTATTAATAATAGCCATTAGACACACGTAAGTGATATCTCATTGTGACTTTAATTTGCATCTCTGATGATTAGTGACATTGAGCATTTTTCATATGTCCACTGACCATCTGTATGTCTTCTTTGGACAAATGTCTATTCATGTCCTTTGCTCATTTTTTTAAATTGAGTTGTTTAATCGTCTTGGTGTTGAGTAGTATAAGTTATTTATATATTTTGGAAATTAATGCCTGATCAGATGTATCATTGGTAAATGTATTCACCCATTCAGAGGACTCCCTTTCTATTTTGTTGATGCTTATTTTTGTGATGAACCCGCAGCCAACATCATACTTAATGGACAAAAACTAAAAGCATTTCCATTAAGATCAGGAACAAGACAGGGGTGGCCACTTTCGCTACTCTTATTCGACATAGACTGGAAGCACTAGCCACAGCAATCTGACAAGAAGAAGAACTAAATAGCATCCAAGTTGGGAAGAAGGAAGTAAAACAGTCATTATTCACAAATGACATGATATTGTATATAGAAAATCATAAAGACTCCACCCAAAACTACTACCTCTAATAAATAAATTCAGAAAAGTAACTGGATGCAAAATTAATATTCAGAATTTGGTTGCATTTTATACACCAGTAATGAGCTATCAGAAAGAGATATTAAGAAAAACAATTCCATTTACTACTGCAAAAAATAATAAGGTACCTAGTAATAAATTTACATGAGGAAGTAAAATACTTGTAGTTAGTAAAAGAACTGTAATCAGAAAATTATAGGATACTGAAGAAAGAAAATGGGGAAGATACAAATAAGTGGAAGCATTCTGTTCCATTGATCTATGTGTTTGTTCTTATGCTATTACTAGGCTGTTTTGATTACAGTGTCCTTGTAATATAGTTTGATATCAGCTATTGTGGTCCCTCCTACTTTGTTCTTCTTTCTCAAAATTGCTATGGCTATTTGGGGTTGTTTACAGTTCCATATAAATTTTTGCAATGTTTGTTCTATATCTGTGGAATATGTCATTGGTATTTTAATAGGGATTGCATGTAATCTATAAATTGCTTTGGGTAGTGTGGACATTTTGTTGATGTTAGTTTTTCCAGTCCATGAAGATGGTATATGCTTCCATTTATTTGGAAGCATATATTTCCAAAATATAGTTTCCATTAATTTCTTTCTTCAGTGTTGTGTAGTTTTCTGCATATAGGTCCTTTACCTCCTTGGTTAGATTTATTCCTAGGTACTTTAGTTTTCTTGTTATAGCAAATGGGATATTTTCCCCTGATTTCTGTTTCTCATATTTCATTGTTGGTGCACAAGTCGCCTTCAATTTCTGATACTGACTTTGTATCCCGCTATTTTGCCAAATTCACTTATTAGGTCAAATAGCTTTTTGGTGGAGCTTATAAAGTTTTCTATGTACACTATCATGTCATCTGCACACAATGACAGTTTTGCTTCCTCCTTTCCAATTTGGATGCCTTTTATTTTTATTTTTTTCTTGTTTGGTCACTGTGGCTAGGACTTCCAATTTCTCAACTCCACTCCAGGAAAACAAACAATCATATTAAAAAGTTGTCAAAGGTCTTTTACCTCCTTGGTTAGGTTTATGCCTAGGTACTTTATTTTTCTTGTTGCTATATCAAATAGGATTTTTTCTTGACTTCTGCTTCTGCTGTTTCATTGTTGATATACAAAAATGCCTTTGATTTCTGGATATTGACTGTGTATCCCACTGTTTTGCCAAATTCATTTATTAGGTCCAGCAGTTTTTGGATGGAGTCTATAGGATTTTCTCTGAACACTATCGTGTCATCTGCAAACAGTGACAGTTTTGTTTCCTTCTTTCCAATTTGGATGCTTTTTATTTCTTTTTTCTTGTCTGATGGCTGTGGCTAAAACTTCCAATACTATGTTGAATAGAAGTGGTGAAAGTGGACAACCTTGTCTTGTTCCTGATCTTAGAGGAAGAGATTTTAGTTTTTTCCCATTGAGTATGATGTTGGCTGTAGGTCTCTCCTATATGGCCTTTATTATGTTGAGGAATGCTCCCTCTATTCCCACTCTGCTGAGTGTTTTTGATCATAAATGGGTGCTGTACCTTATCAAATGCTTTTCCCCCATCTATTGATATGATCATGTGATTTTTGTCTTTGCTTTTGTTTATGTGATCTATTACATTTATTGGTTTGTGAATATTGTACCATCCTTGCATCCCTGGAATGAATCCAACTTGGTCATGGTGTATGATCTTTTTAATGTATTGTTGGATGTGGTTTGGCAATATTTTGTTGAGAATTTTAGTGTCTATGTTCATCAGCGATACTGGCCTGAAGTTTTCTTTCTTTGTCATGTTTTTACCTGGTTTTGGGATTAGAGTGCTGCTAGCTTCATAAGAAGAGTTTGGGAGTCTTCTCACATTTTGGATTTTTTGGAATAGTCTGTAAATGATAGGAGTTAGCTCTTCCTTAAATGCTTTGTAGAATTCTCCTGTGAAACCGTCTAGTCGAGGGCTTTTGTGTGTTGGGAGTTTTTTGATTACTGCTTCAATTTCATCTGCTGTTATTGGTCTGTTCAGGCTTTCTGCTTCTTCTTCCTTGAGTTTTGGAAGATTATATTTTTCTAGAAATTTGTCCATTTCACCTAGGTTTTCAAATTTCTTGGCATACAGTTCTTCATAGTAATTTCTTACAATCCTTTATATTTCTGTGGTATCAGTTGTGATCTCTCCCTTTCATTTCTGATTGTGTTTATTTGGGTCCTCTCTTTTTTTTCTCGATGAGCCTGCTTAAAGTCTGATCAATTTTGCTTATGTTTTCAAAGAACCAGGCCCTGGATTCATTAATCCTTAGAATTGTGCTTTTAGTCTCTATGTCATTTAATTCTGCTCTGATTTTTGGTAGGTGCCCATCAGTAAATGAATGGATCAAAATCTATGGTACATTTACACAGTGGAATTCTATGCAGCAAAAAGAAAGAAGGAGCTCCCACCCTTTGCAACAGCATGGATGGAACTGGAAAAACATTATGCTAAGTGAAATAAGCCAGGCAGTGAAAGACAAATACTATCATATGATCTCACCTTTAACAGGAACCTAAACAACAAAACAAGCAAAATATAACCAAAGACACTGAAATAGAGAACAGGCTGACAGTGACCAGAAGAGAGAGGGGAGGGAATTTCAGGGGAAAAGGGGAAGGGTTTACAGCAACGAGTATAAAAGACACATGGACAAAAACAAAGGGGGGTTGGAAATAGGAGGGAGGTAGGGAGGGCCGGGGGGTGGGCTGGAATGGGAGTAAAAGCCAGAAAACTATACTTGAACAACAATTAAAATTAAAAAAAAATAAAAAGTTGTCAAAGGACCTCAACAGACACTTCTCTGAGGGGGACATACAGAGGGCCCAGAGACATATGAAAGGATGCTCAGCATCACTAGCCATCAGAGAGATGCAAATTGAAACCACAAAGAGATGCTACCTCACACCAGTCAGAATGGCCATCATAAACAAATTAACAAGCAACAAGTGCCGGTGAGGTTGTGGAGAAAAGGGGACCCTAATACACTACTGGTGGGAATACAGACTGGTGTAGCCACTGTGGAAAACAGTATGGAATTTCTTCAAAAAATTAAAAATGGAACTGTCTTTTGACCCAGCAATTTCAATGTTGGGATTATACCCTAAGAATCCTGAAACATCAATTCAAGAGAACCTATGCACCCCAATGTTTGTAGCAGCACAATTTACAATAGCCAAGTGCTGGAAGCAACTTAAGTGCCCATAAGTAAATGAGTGGATCAAAATACTAAGTGGTACATTTACACAATGGCATACTACACAGCAGAAAGAAGAAAGGAGCTTCTGTCCTTTGCAACAGCATGGATGGAACCAGAGAGTATTAAGCTAAGTGAAATAAGCCAGGTGGTGAAAGACAAATATCATATGATCTCACCTATAAGTGGAACCTAATGAACAAAATAAGCAAGCAAAATATAACCGCAGACATTGAAACAAAGAACAGACTGATAGTAACCCGAGGGACAAGGGGAGGAGGATAACAGGGAAAGAAGGCTTAGGGTCATCAAGAAACGTGTATGAAGGACACATGGACAAAGTTAAAGGGGGGGGGGTAGGATTGCAGGTGGGATATTGGTTGGGTGGGGCCGGGGAGAGTGATGGGGGGGAAAATGGAGACAAGTGTACTTGAACAACAATAAAAAAACTATGACAACACAAGTACACAAATATTAAAAAACAAACAAACAAATAAGTGGAAGCATATACCATCATTATGGATAGGAAATATTAACATAAGTAATTGTCCATGGTACCCAAAGCAATCTATCAGTTCAACACAATTCTTATTAAAATACCAAATGCATATCTCACAGATCTAGAACAAATATTTCACAACTTTATAGAGAACCACAAAAACCTTGAATTGCCTCAGCAATCTTGAGAAAGAAAACACAAATGGAGGAATCAAGCTACCTGGTATCAAACTATACTACAACGTCATAGTAATAAAAAAAAAGCATGGCATTGGCACAAGAACAGGCATATAGGTTAATGAAACAGAACACAGATAACAGAAATAAACCTATATTTTTATGGTCAATTACTATTTGACAAAGGAATCAAGAACATACAATCAGCTAAAGGCAGTCTGTTGAATAAACGGTGTGGGAGAATTGGACAGATATATGCAAAAAATGAAACTGGGCCACCATCTTACATAATACACAAGAATAAACTCAAAATGGATTAAAGACAACAAAAGAAAAAAGCAAACAAAATATAACCAGAGACATTGAAATTAAGAACAATCTAACAATAGCGAGAGGGGAGGGGACTGTGGGGGTGAAGGGTTTTCGGGAACTACTATAAAGAGCACATAGAAAAAAACAAGGGGGGAGGGTGGAAGCAAGGGAGGGAGGTGGGTTTGGATGGGGTGGCAGGGAGTGGTGGGGAGAAAATGCAGACAACTATAATTGAACAACAATATAGTGATTTGTGAAACAAAAAAATGGAGCAAAAACTCAAATGTTAAGTTATGAAGCCATAAAAGTCCTGGAAGTAAACATAAGCAGTAAAATTTCATACAGTTTTCATAGCAATATTTTTGCAGATCTATCCAAGTAAGAGAAATAAAGCAAAAAAAATAAAAATAAACCGATTGGACTACATAAAATGAAAAAGCTTTTGTGCATCAATTGCTACCTTAAGGGATTCAGGAAGACTCTTCCTCAAGGATCTCTCCAGTGCCTGAAGCATCTGGGCACCTTGCACTTGCAACATCATGGAAGATACCTTAGCCTAGAGAAATAAATAAAAAACAACCAGGAATGAGGAAAGCTGGAGGAGATTCCAAAACAAATAGTAGCAAGTTTTATGCTAATGGCCAAAACCCGTTGGGTGTTTCTTTAGTGATGTCACCTTCTCTAAGTCCTCAGTAACTCCAAGGAAGGACAAAAATGGCAGGAAGTACAGAGGGCACGTTCTGAATTTTTTGTGTTCACTTTCATACACTTTGAAGAACTCCAAGTTGCACATTAGTTCAACAGGCACATTAAAAAATATATAATATCTTTTGAAATTTAGTTCCTATCAGTGATTCTCAACTCTTCAAGAAATAAGCCGTATAACTTGGGAAAGTAACTTACACTCTGTGCCTTGGTTTCTTCAAAGGTAGATAGGATAATATCACTAACTTACAGAATTTTTTGGAAGGATTAAATGAGTTAATACATTAAATGAATAAATAAGTGCTTAGAAGAGCAACTGACATTTAGTAAGCACTGAACCTGTTATTTTATTACTACTGCCATTCTTTCACCTTTCTGTTCTCTTATTTCCCTTCATTTTCTTCTCTTACTCTCCTTCCTTTTCCTCCTTCTCCCCATTTGAGTTAATGTGCTGTGTATTGTGTGATGCTAGAAAACACAAACAGGAAATTTAATGAGCTCAGAAAACAAATCAATGAACAAAAAAGGGTACTTTAATGAAAATGAAACTTGAACACATAACCAAACAGAAATTCTGGCCTGAAGAACTCAATAATAGAGGTCAAGAATGAACTTGAGACCATAGGAAATACAGTGGACCAGATGGAGAAGGGTGATATGGAAAATAGAAATTTAGAAATGATGCAGAGGGAACAAGAGAGAGACTTGAGCATAAAAAAATGAAAGAACTCTATGAGAACTATCTGACCCATTCAGAGTGAGCAATATAAGAACAATAGGCATAGTAGAAGAACAAGTGAGGAAGAAGGGCATGGAGAACCTGTCCAAACAAATAGTTGATGAGAACTTCCCAAGCCAATGGAAAGAATTAGATCCTCAAGTATAAGAAACAAACAGGACACTTAGTTTCCTCAATATAAAAGGCTTTCTTCAAGGCACATCCTATTAAATCTGTCAAAAATTAATGACAAAGAAAGAATTCTCAAGGCAGCCAGAGGAGAGAAGAAAGTAACCAATAAAGGAAAGCCCATTAGGTTATCATCAGACTTCTCAACAGGAGCTCTAGAAGCCAGAAGAGAATGACCAAATATTCAAACTACTGAAAGAGAGAAATTACCAGTCAAAAAATAATATATCCAGCAAAGTTATCCTTTAAATATGAGGAAGAAATAAAGACTTCTCCAGACATATAGAATCTCAGCTTGTTGGATGCAAGTTTCATTCCCAGTCAGTGCATATGTCTAGATTGCAAGTTTGGTTCCAGCTCAGGGCATGTGTGAGAGGCAACTGATTGATGTTTCTCTCTCACACTGATGCTTCTCTTCCTATTTTTCTTCCCCCTTCTCCCTCTCTCTAAAAATAAATAAATAAAATATTTATAAAGAACAAAGTATAAAAAGTCACAAAAGATCACCTCCAAGAAACTTACAGCATAAACAGAGATAGTTCGTGATGACAAAAACAAAAAAGGGGTCGGGATATCGATCTCAGTTTGCAAAGGAAGATGGAAGGCAGATGCATTCAATAGGAAAAAGACTATGTATATATGAAAATTTATTTTTCATAAACGTAAGAGTAACCTCACCAATCCTTGCTCTCCCCAAAACACTGAGTCACATAGTTAAAAAAATAGGTAACAGGGAATAGAAGTCTGGAGTACCACCAAACAAAAACAACAAACAGAAACACAAAGGAAAAGAACCAATGATGGTATAGAACTACCAGAAGATAAAGGACAAAATGTCTGTAGGACACTGTCATCCATCAAAAATCACCCTAAATGTAAATGAACTGAATTCACCAATAAAGAAGCACAGAGGAGAAAACTGGGTCAAATATCAAAACCCCACTATATGCTGCCTTCAGGAGACACATCTAAGCGGCAAAGATAACATTAGACAAAGTGAAAGGGTGAAAATGATTCTCCAAGGAAATAACATCCAGGGAAAAAGCAGGGGCAGCCATACTTTTATTTGACAAAACAGATTTCAACATAACAATGGTGCCAAGAGAGAAAGATGGATGTTTTATAATGACAAAGGGCACAGTACATGAAGAAGACATAACACTCCTCAGTATATATGCACCCAGTCAAAGAGCACAGATACATATAAAGCAGCTACGAACAGAACTAAAGGTAGAAACTGGCAAAACCACAATCATAGCTGGGGATATAAATACTCCATGGACAGCTCTAGACAGATCTTCCAAACAGAAAAAAAAATCACCTTTAAATGACACATTAGACCCAATGGACATAATTTCCATTCATGGAGCCTTTCATTCTAGAACACCGGATTATACATTCTTCTCTAGTACACATGGAACATTCTCAAGGATAGACCATGTGTGGGGTTACAAAACTAGCCTCAACAAATTCAATAATATTGAAGTCATACCAAGCATATTCTCTGACCACAATGCTTTGAAATTAGAAATCAGCTACAAAAAGTAAGTAAGGAAACCCATAGATATGTGGAGATTAAACAACACCCTACTAAAAAATGACTGGGTCAAAGAAGAAATAAAAAGTGAGGTCAAAATATAGAGAGAAACAAATGTGAATGACAAGATAACATATTAAAACTTCTGAGATGCAGTGAAAGCAGTAATAAGAGGGAAGTTTATATCACTACAGGAGTATCTCAACAAACATGAGAAATTCCAAGATAACAACCTAACATTACTTCTTAAAGAACTAGAAAAAAGAAGAACCAGAGCAACACATTTATTAATTGAGCTCAAATATTAATTGAGCATAGAGACTTGGGCTTTATTTCTGGGCTCTTTATTCTGTTCCATTGATATACATGTCTGTTCTTATGCCTGACTGTTTTGATTACTGTGGGCTTTTAACATAGTTTAAAACAAGTATTGTGATCTCTCCTACCTTGCTTTTCTTTCTCAAAATTGCTGCAGCTATTTGGGGTTGGTTATGGTTCCACATAAATTTTTGAAATGTTTGTTGTATACCTGTGAAATATGTCATTGGTATTTTAATAGGGCTTGTATTGAATCTATAAATTGCTTTGGTTAGTATGGATATTTTAATGATGTTAATTCTTCCATCCATGAACATTGTACATGCTTCCATTTGTTTGTGTCTTCCCTAATTTCTTCGGTGTTGTGCAGTTTTCTGAGTACAGGTCTTTTACCTCCTTAGCTAGGTTCATAGGTATTTTATTTTTTCTTGTTGCTATAGTAAATGGGAATTTTTCCTGAATTCTGTTTCTGATATTTCATTGTTGGTGTACAAAAAATGCCATCAATTTCTGAATATTTACTCTATATCTTGCTGTTTTGCCAAATTCACTTATTAGGTCAAGTAGTTTTTGGTGGAGTCTATAAGATTTTCTATGTATACTATCAGGTCATCTGCAAACAATGACAGTTTTCTTCTTTCTTTCCAATTTGGATATCTTTTATTTTTTTTAATGAAAAAAATTGTTGTTGAAGTACAGTTGTCTGCATTTCCACCCCCCCCAGCAGTCCCCACCACCCCAGCCATTCCTCCTCCCTCCCCTGATCCCATTCCCCCTTGTTTTTTTTCCATGTGTCCTTTATAGTTTTTCCTGAAAAGCCTTCCCTCTTTTCCCCCCTTTATTTCTTTTTTCTTGCCTGATTGCCGTGGCTAGGACTTCCAATACTGTGTTGAATAGAAGTGGTGAAAGTGGGCATCCTTGTCTTGTTCCTGATCTTAGTGGGAAAGTTTTCAGTGTTTGCCTATTGAGTATGATGTTGGCTGTAGTTCTCTCCTATATGGCCTTTATTCTGTTGAGGAATGCTCCCTGTACTCCCACTTTGCTGAGTGTTTTTATCATAAATGGATGCTGTTCCTTATCAAATGCTTTTATCTGCATCTAATGATATGATTGTGTGATTTTTGTCTTTCCTTTTGTTTATGTGTTGTATTATGATTATTGATTTGCAAATATTGTACCATCCTTGCATCCCTGGAATGAATCCCATTTGGTCATGGTGTATGATCTTTTTAATGTATTGTTGGATGCGGTTTGCCAGTATTTTGTTGAGAATTTTGGCGTCTATGTTCATCGGCGATATTGGCCTGAAGTTTTCTTTCTTTGATGTGTCTTTATCTGGTTTTAAAATTAGGATGCTGCTGGCTTCACAAAAAGAGTTTGGGAGTCTCCCATCTTTTTGGATTTTTTCGAATAGTCTGTGAGGGATAGTGGTTAGCTCTTCCTTAAATATTTTGTAAAATTCTCCTGTGAAACCGTCTGGTCCAGGGCTTTTGTGTGTCAGGAGTTTTTTGATTACTGCTTCAATTTCCTGAGCTGTTATTGGTCTGTTCAGGCTTTCCACTTCTTCTTCATTCAGTTTAGAAGATTATATTTTTCTAGAAATTTGGTCATTTCACCTAGGTTTTCAAATTCCTTGGCATATATTTCTTCATAGTAATTTCTTACAATCCTTTGAATTTCTGTGGTATCAGTTGTAATCTCTCCCTTTCATTTCTGATTGTGTTTATTTGGGTCCTCTCTTTTTTTTTCTTGATGAGTCTGCTTAAAGGCTTGTCAGTTTTGGATCTTGCTGCTGTAACTCACTGAACAATGTGTAAACTGGTGAGTGAATATTCCTGTTTTTTTCCACGGGTGTGTCCCCTGTCATTTTTGCAGATGTTTGTCACCAATTTGAAGAAAACAACACATGCCTAATTTCCCCTTGCGTCTGCTTATTGATGGGAGAAGATAAGACTTTTGTTCAGCACATGAATGCTTCATTATACATTGAAAATGGCTGCTAAGTGTATTAAGATTCACTTAGTTAATGTGAATGGCACCTTTTAACCACCTGGCTCTAGTCCATCTTCCTAGATACTCCTGTCACTACTCCTCACCACATGAGACCATGGAGACATTTCTCCAACACAGTCTCTGCTTTAGCTCCTCCGGCCCATCTGCATTTTACCCTTGTTTGGGATTCCTGAATTCCATTCTTCTACATGCAGCTCCCATTCATTCTTCAAAGTCTAGCTAAGGGTCTGTCATCTCTAGTGACTCCTCCCTTTGCTGTGCTCTCAAATGTGCGCATCTCTCTACTAGATAGCTTTTGGCATTGAGCTAGACTTTACTTTCCTACCCATGAACTCCTTTGAGGCCCGAAGCTCACCTTACTTATTATCCTATGTGCTTACTATGATGTATGGCACACAGTATGCCATCAGTAAATGGATGGTAAATGACCGAATGCATGAAATACTTGTATTATCCTGTCTGTCTAGTCACTCCTTCCAAAGCATAGATTAAGTAATTATTAACTCTATCATAGTATATGTATGTTCTGCATGTAGTATGCTGGGCATGGGAAAGGCCTTCAACTACTTTATGCTAAGTTATGTCTTGAAAAAAGTCCAGACTAGTACAGAGGTACCTTTGTCCTCTATCTAAAGGTCTTAGGTCTTGACAAATAAGACATTTCTGAAGGCTGATCTTACCTTGTGTCCAGAGGCAACTTACAAGGAAGTTACATGAGTATGAGATACAATATAGAGTTTGATGTCAAATCTGTGGGGTGTGATATTACTGTGTTTCCTGAGAAGTGTAGAGTTTGGAACCACCGTTCAAAGATGTACATACAAACTAACAACCAAGTGTGGTGCCCCAGAAATAGGGTAGACTGAAAATAACTGAGACAGAGATTCTGACACACTCACTGTGAGCTGGCAGAATTGGACCACAGGTAATGTCCTTGAGAGTGAACATCAGAACTTTTGACTCAGTCATTCCACAAGTAGAAAATCAACACTAACAAAATAATCAAAATAAGAGCAAAGCTCTAAACGAAGTTTGATAAAGTCCACAAACATTAACAAGTTCTGAGCAAAATCCCAATGTCCAGCAATAGGGAAAGGAAATATAAAATAGGATCTGTTGGGGTGATGCAACTCTAAGACATTAACATAATACATGTACGTACGGGCACATGAGAAACTGTTCAAATGCAATGAGAAAATGTAGGACATTAAAACAGTTCACAGACCACATAGATAAACCTAAATGTAACAGAGAACACAGAAAAATAAAGCAAGATTGTGGTAGTAGCAGTATAGATAAAATCTTTGAAGTAAATTTGTTTATTATGTGATATAAATAAATGATAAATTTTGTTTGTATTCTTGTCTTTATTCATGTACTTATTTCATCTCTGGCTTTCATTACAACAACCTTTTTATCAGTTACACACAGGAAAAATACCTGCAGAATGTACACCTGGAACCTGTATAATTTTACTAAGCAATGTCACCCCAGTAAATTCAATAAGCATAAATAAAAATTAAATGACCCTAAATATAAGTATAAAAATAAATAAATGCTAGCTTCCTTTTTCAATCTACTAAGAACACACCCTATATAATACCATCTATAGTATGGTATTATTTGGGGGTCAAATGTGGGGTCACCTGTCTTTCAGGTGAAATGTTCTTACTAGATTGAGATTTCACAATCTTATGGAGAAACTCAGGCAAATAGCTACCCCTGGCCACACACAGCGCTATGCTCTGCCACAGACAGAGCCTCAGGGTGGCATTCCAGGTATGCAGGACAGGGTTCCCACTCCAGACACTTTCTGAGAGTTAATCCCACCTCTTAAAATGGAAGCTCGTTCATTGGTGGTGACAGGAGACCACTCACCCATGACAGAATTCAACAGAAATAACTTCACAAAATAGTCTCCCATTTCATTTGAGGGAAAAGTGACATTCCTACTGGTTTTGTGATAGTGTCATTTTGGTAATATATGAGAACTCTACATTTCTTAGAACTGAGTACTGAAATGTGTAGTACTTGTGTCTGAGATTTGTTTACAATACCATAGCAAAGGAAAAGGGACAGATGGATGAAACAAATGGTACAGAATCTTGCTGGTGTGGAGAAGATGACAACTTCTTTCCTCCTTATTAGAGCATATTTGAAATCCTCATAATTAAGTTATATGTTCTGAGGGAAACTAAGGCCAGCATTTCCTCATCTGTAAAAAAGGTTCAATTTGTTCATTTTTTCGTTATGATTAATTTCTGATGCAAGTAAAATCCACTGAAAAACAAAGAAAAAACATAATGTACCCAGAAGGATTAAATATGATCATAGTTGCAGTGTCTCCGCACAGTGAGTGCTCCATTTACCCACCTACTTCCAGAAAGTGCCCAGATCTCTCCTCATTCATTCACCAGTTCAGATCAGAGACCTGCACAGAGTTGTTCGTAGTACCTAACAAGTTGCCCTTTACAGAGCAGGTGCCAGAAGTATGTTTCTTAAGTTGATGTTACTCCTTTTCCTTAGGTGTATGGTGTTACTACTGAACATACACAGTGAGCATTTTGGTTTGTGTCACTTAAGTGGAGAGGATGTCACCAAGCAATGAATATCTTTTGCGGGGCATAAGGAGGATATGAGTCCTTACCTGGGGAGCTGTCGCCACACCAATCTGCAGGTATCCCCAGGAACAAATGAGAAGGGCAGACTTTTCAATAACAAAACTTCCTTCTAATGCAGGCAGTTCAATAGAATCTTACAGAGTTAAGAATGTCTCCTCCAGGAACGGCTGAGCTGAGGCTTGTAAGGTAGACCTTGCACAGAGCAAAACCTTCTTATATCAGCTCGTGTAGAATCCAGGCCTTCCTCCCAGAGTTCCACAGTAAAGGGGCTGACTGTACAAGGTTCACAGGCTGACAAGGGGGCATTTGTGCCAACCCCAACCTGTTATGCCAGGCTGCTCTTTGCCCCAACTGGCTCTGCAATGTGTGTGAAACCAACGGCTGGATACTGAAAGGAGAGCCATTGCAGAGACAGTACCTCCTTCCTTCCCTTCCCACTCCCCAGTACCAGCAGTAGGAGCAAGGCGGTAGGAAAGATAGAGATGAGAGCTCATTGGCAGAACCTGATCTATTTTCTTGCACACATGGAAACAGAAAATCAGCTATATGGCATGATTAAAACTGTTTATATTTTTCTTTTACAATATAAGCTGTACCCTCTCCCCTGCCCATTCTGAGGCTGCACTTAGACACCCCAACATGGCACTATGTGGGCACTTCTTAGTCTCACTTTTACAGAGAAGAAAACCAAGGCTCAGTGTGGCTGAATTCGAATGCTTTTAAACCCAGACCTCTTCACTCCAATGTGCTCAGTACCCCACATTAACGCTTGTTGTACCATCCTCTGAAAAGAAAGGGGCTCAGAAACAATATTTTGAGTACCAACTCCACTGTGTGAAACAAGCAAGGAGGGAAGTTTGACACTATCTGTGTCTTGTCCTCCTTACCCTAACCCTTCTTTGCCATGTTGCTGGACACTTTCATTATGGAGGGAAGAAGAGTCACTCTAATCAGAGGGGCAGGGAAGGGGTGGCTAGTGTCTAGACAGAAAGTAAAAAGAGCTTGCATACTCCTTCAGTCCCTGCACCGTCCCAGCACAGGTTTGCACATATTTTTTCTCTGCCCTTTCTAGGAGTCTTGCTCCTCCTAGAATATGAATTCTCTATCTCATCTCCTGGATTAGAGTCATGACCATTCATTACTCTTTCTCCAAGGACAAAGGACAATGAAATTATTCTGTCACTACCAACAGAGTGGACCCCTGGGCTCCAGTAGGGTCCATATCTCAAAAATGTTGTTTACAACAAAAGAGTAAGATTCTCTTATATCCCCGTACTAAAAGTCAGATCCCTAGTCTTCGGTCTCCTTCAGCTGTCACCCTCGCTCAGTCACTCAGAAGATTTCAGTGTCTCTACCACTTCCCTTGTATCTTAAACTAGTTTCTTAACCTCTCTGGGTTGTTTCCCCAGCTGTCAAGAGTGTTTGTGTACCAGATAACCAAGGATTTTTTTTCTGCTCTTCCTTGACTCTGTGGTTATCACATGAGATAATGAGTATAAATTTTCTCACATTCTTTGGGATCCCATACAAGGAAAAAGGTTCAGGAGCTCTGGTGTCAGTCTTTACCTACATATTACTTATGACCTATGTGATGGATGAGGGGCTGGCAATGATGAGAGAAGCAGCCTGCCTAGCACAGTGGCTCAGAGAGAGGACAATGGGACCAAATTAACAGGCTTGGGATCCTGTCCACACCACTTACCTAACCCACCACATACCTCTGTTTCTCTGTGCAGAAAGAGCAGTAAATAATAGTACTTACTTTGTAGAGTTTTGAGGTTTTTTTCTGGGCTCAGTTTTTTGGGGGATGCTGGGGAGGGACGAATACTAATGTGTGGCAAGGATGTGGAGAAATTGGGATGTTTGTGCACTGTTGATAGAAAGGTAAAATGGTGTAGCCATACACCAATGGTGTAGCCATATAGCTGATTGTAGCCACTATTACAATCAGTATGATGGTTAGAGAAGAAAAATACAGCTACCCTATGGTCTGGCAATTCTATTTCTGGGAATATATCCAAAGGAATTGCCATCAGGATCTTGAATAGGTATCTGCACCCCCATGTTCATTGCAGCCATACTCACAATAGCCAAGATGTGGGAGCAACCTCAGCGTCCACTGACAGATGAATTGATCAAGAAAATGTGGTCTGTACATATGATGGAATATGACTTAGCTTTCCAAAAGAGGAAAATCCTGCAATATGTGGCAACATGGGTGAAACTTAAGGGCACCGTGCTAAGTGAAAAAACCCAGTCGGAGGAGGACAAAGAGGCAGGATTCCACCGAGATGAAGCATTGAAAGTAACAACACTCACAGAAGCAGAGTGGAGTGGTGCTTACCAGGAGCTGGGGAGAGGGAAAGATAGTGAGTTAATGTCCAAAAGGTAGAAAGTGTGTGTTGTGCAAGACGAAAGAGTTTAGAGATCTGTTGTACGACATAGTGTTTATGCATAACAATACTGTGTTAAACACTTAGATATTTGTTAAGATGTTATATGTTTTTAAAACCACAATTAAATGCATAAATAAATACTGCAAAGCAGTCAGACACAGAAAGGCACATTTTCTGTAGGCATCGATGATAACAAGTACCATTGATTTGTCTCCTGAAAAATGCTTCAGAGAAAACATCCATATCATTTCACATCAAGTGAAGATATCCTTCCAAAGTTTAGGCAAAATAAAGCCATGTTTTCTTTTTCTTTTTTAAGCCCATTATTTATTTCCCATTGATCTTTGTTTTCTTTTTCTTGTTGACACTATTACAGACGTCCCTCTTTTTCCTCCTCTTTGGCCAGCTTCACGCAGCCAGTGCCTCCCCTTCCCTGGGCGTTTCACCAGTGAGCTTCACCACCCCAGTGCGCTTCACCACACTGTGGTCTGTGTCCGCGGGCGGTGCATACCTGTTCTTCAGCTAATCCCTTCACCTTGTTTCTTGCAGTCCCCGTCCTCCTCTCCGACAGTTCTCAGTCTGCTGACATGTATCCAAGCTTCTGTTCTATGTTGTTCATTAGTTTATTGTGCTCGTTAGATTACAGATACAAGGGAGGTCATATGGTATTTGTGCTTTAATCATTAAAATCACCAGGTTACGGTTTACCAGGTAGAGGCTGCGATAGGGTTGAGGGGATATGGAGGCAGAACTGCAGGGGCAATTGTAAGAGAGTAAAGTGGAGGGCGCAACTTTTCACCTTCTTGGTTTATGGTGCAGACTGTTAACTAAGCTCTTTAATTTTTTTTTAATTATTGTATTACAATTGTCCTAAATTTTCCTCCTTTGCCCTCCTCCCCCAACCCCACTCCCCTCTCCCACACTGAATCTCCACACCCTTCTTAGCTCCCCCGAGTACGCTTTCTGTCTTTTTTTAAAAACCTAGTGCCCGCAAACTAAAAAGGCTGCCCTAGTGGGAGCAGATTTTCCCACTCTTCTGCGCGCCGCCTCGTCGACCAGCAGAGGGCAGAGCCGGCCGCAGCTGCTGCCTGCCCCAGCTGTTTCCTTCTCCGGGAAGTTAAACAATACAAACATAACGCTTCCTGTGAGTATTTATTAAATCCACACGAAAAGTGAAAGGAATGTTTCACGTCTTTAACAACTGAGAACACAACTGACAGCGTTTTCTTCAATTTCCTGGTCGCGAGCGCAGCCTCCGAGGTTCTGCAGACAGCCAGCTTCCTCCCCATATTGCTGTTAAAAGAAACACATACCGTAAAACTTACCATTTTAACTTCCACTTGAAGCCTTAAGAATATTACCATTGTAGTGCCACCGTGACCATCCTCCCTCTCCAGAACTTTTCCATCTGGTAAAACTGAGACCGTGCTCCCATTAAACAGCTCCCGCCGCCCCTCCCTCCCGTGTCTGGCAACCACCGCTCTGCTTCAGTTACCTCCGCTACATAAGTCCGAGGCATCGGCAAGTGGGAGGACCTCCACCCTTAAACCCGTGCTTCTCAACTCGAGGTGATTTCGCCTCCAGGGGATATATTATCAACAAGCGGAGACGTGTTTACTGGTCATAACTGGAATGGAGGTGCTATCGGCATCCCGTGGTAGAGGGCAGGGAGCCTGCTACACATCCTATAAATGCACGGGACTGTCCACTCTCAAGTGCCCCTTGTGCCAAGGTTGAGAAACTCTGCTCTAAACTGAGCTTCCCCTCTCTTGACTCGCCAAGAAGTTAAGCCTGGGTTGTTGGCTTTTCTGTGTGTGGGAACTTCATCCCCAAGTCCATAGCCTAATTCCAGACCTAGATGGACCAAAAGGGAGCAGGTTGTTGATCCAGGTGACTGCCTTCAGTCCAGTGCTCTCTTTGCTGCACAGTGCTGAGGTTTAGTGCTGCTTCCCTTGAAATGCTGGGGGCAGGAAACTCTCCCTGCTGCCTTGTCAGAACCAGGAAAACCATGTCTCCACACCACCAAGCAGACTCTCCTGGGAGACTATTGCGTGAACTGCACTTCAGGCATCCTGAAACAATGGGCCCAGGTCAAGTGAAGCAGGAGGCACCCATGCTGTACTGCCCCCCTCCCTCAACATCTATCTCTTCTCAAAAAACACCCACCCCCTTGGGTCTGGGTTCTGCCCCTCTCCACAAACTAGTCCAGGCTCTTCCCATCATGAACCACTTGACTTCAACTTTTACAATCAAACACACAACCTCTTTATTGTTGGGGGTGGGGGGGTTGGATGGATTTAAGAAGCTCTGCTTTTAGAAACAATATTGAATCATTTTCCCTGGTGTGGAGCGAGAAGAGCACAGGCTAATATAGTTAGTCCTTTTCTTAGTAACTCTCCCTGTGATATCACTGTGTTATGTTTAACCTAATGTTTCATGTATATATTTGTGTAAGTGTTTCATGTACCAATAAAGCAGCAATCAGAGGAGAGGATAATTTCTACAGACCTAATGAGCAAAGTGTACTTGCTGATTATTAAGAGAAAGAGAAAGGAATAAGTCATAATGCTCAGGGAAATATTACCCCCTTCCAGGAAAATCTGGCAAGGCTCTACTGATTCATGCACTAGGAGTTCCAAGACATGCCATTTGGGGCAACATGTAGCTGATGAAAGTGTCATGGACATTCCCAGGAAGTGTGAGGAACTAAATGACATGGTGTATATGGGACTGCTCCAAAGTCATCTACCATCTCCTTTTATCATTCAAGAATGGGAAATGAAGCAAACTCCATGCAGTCATGAATGCAATATTTTTTTCAAAATTCCATTACACTGTGTATTATTGGTATTTTTATTGGTGCATGACAATTGTTTCTGGATCATTCTACTGAGCCACATCAGCCGGGGCTTAAGAATAGCACTTTATATTTTAGTATATAATCTTCTTTTTGCAGACTTTCTCTTTTTTGTAGACGTAGAGACACACAATATTACAAAAATTAAAAAAAAATCTGATGTATGGTGTTTTCCCCAAGGAACATATGGTAGACATATTTTTATGTTCATAAACACAAAAATTTTCAATTATTTTCTAATGGCTGCATAGGATCCTATTATATGGATATATCACACTTTCATATATTTGTTTGCCTATTAATGGTCATTTCACCTGTTTCCAAATGTTCACTTTAACAAATAATTCTTTATAGAGAAGTCCTTGCATGGGCACCTGATATTTTCTTAGATTACACAGAAGGGTAATTGCTGGCTCAATGGTTATGCTTAGAAGTCTTTAATGTATATGTCCATAGAACCCTCTGGAAAGGTTAAATGAACTCCCACCACCAGCAGAGACTGCAGCATAGTGCTCAGGAGAATGGGCTATGGGGCCCCATAGTCTGGGGCCCAACTTGGATCTCTACCCTCAACCTTGTTGTGAAAGCTATAAGAGAGAGGGAGGAGTGAAGGGGGAATGAATGGGATTGAGCCTGTGGATATTAATTGTTCTTGTGGTTTGGGGGAATGAAACAGCGGTACCGACATGGGCCTCATGACAACTGTGAACATAGAGCCTCCACAGATAACAGCATGAAGACACGCCAGTGAACAAAGATCCAGAAGATGTGTGTGTGTGTGTGTGTGTGTGTGTGTGTACTTTATATATATATATATATATATACTTTAATGGTTTTTCACCTTGGACAGAATCTGTCTAAGGACTATACCAGTTAGACTAAGGAGTAATAGAAAGGGAATAGATTTTTTTTAAATTGACTGAGTTTCTCTGAATTTATTCTATTTTCAGCCATGTTTGGAGGCTTGATAGAGAAATTCAGTGTAGTTTAGCAAACTATGTAGGCCTGCCACTGTTCCTTATTTCAGTGGCCTAATTCATTAAACCTTTTTTTTCTGCTGAACTCAGAACATAGTAAGTCAAGCATCTGTTCTAAGCTGACTCAGGTGAAGGTGACAGCTATGAAAAAATGTATTTAATATTGAACACAGAAAAATGGACAAACTTTTCCTCAAATGAGAGGCAAGTAAGTGTTGGATTCTAAGTTATACCTTCATTGAAAGTACCTGGCATGCAGGTCTTTTACCTCCTTGGTTAGGTTTATTCCTTAGTACTTTATTTTTCTTGTTGCTTTAGCAAATGGGATTTTTTCCTGATTTCTGTTTCTGATATTTCATTGTTGGTGTACAAAAATGCTTTCTATTTCTGAATATTGACTTTGTGTCCCGCCGTTTTACCTAATTCACTTATTAGGTCGAGTAGTTTTTTTGTGGAGTCTATAGGGATCTCTATGTATACTATCATGTCATCTGCAAACAGTGACAGTTTCACTTCCTCTTTTCTAATTTGGACACCTTTTATTTCTTTTTCTTGTCTGATCACTGTGGCTAGGATTTCCAATACTATGTTGAATAGAAGTGGTGAAAGTGGACATCCTTGTTTTGTTCCTGATCTTAGTGGGAAAGCTTTTACTTTTTGCTTATTGAGTATGATGTTGGCTGTAGGTCTCTCATATATGACCTTTATTATATTGAGGAATACTCCCTCTACTCCCACTTTGCTGAGTGTTTTTATCATAAATGGATGCTGTTCCTTATCAAATGCTTTTTCCACATCCAATGATATGATCATGTGATTTTTGTCTTTCCTTTTTTCATGTGCTGTATTATGTTTATTGATTTGCAAATATTGTACCATCCTTGCATCCCTGAAATGAATCCCACTTGATCATAGTGTATGATCTATTTAATATGTTTCTGGATGTGGTTTGCCAATATTTTGTTGAGGATTTTAACATCTGTGTTCATCAGTGATATTGACCTATAGTTCTCTTTCTTTGTTGTCTTTGTCTGGTTTTGGAATTAGGATGATGCTGGCTTCATAAAAAGTTTAGAAGTCTTCCCTCTGCTTGGATTTTTTGGAATTGCTTGAGAAGGATAGGGGTTAGCTCTTCCTTAAATGTTTTGTAAAATTCTCCTTGGAAAGTGCCAGGAGTCATTTGATTGCTGCTTTGATTTAACCAGCTGTTATTGGTCTATTCAGGCTTTATCTTCTTTCTTCATTCAGTTTTGGAAGATTATATTTTTCTAGAAATTTGTCCGTTTCACCCAGGTTTTCAAATTTATTGGCATATAGTTGTTTGTAGTAATTACTTACAATCCTTTGTACTTTTGTGATATAAGTCTGCATGGGAAAATATATTTGCAAATGATACCTCAGACAAGGGTTTGATCTCCAAAATATATAAAGAACTCACATGACTCCACTCCAGGAAGATAAACAACCCAATTAAAAAATGGGCAAAGGACCTGAGCAGACACTTTTCCAAGGAGGACATATAGAGGGCCCAGAGACATATGAAAGGATGTTCAGCATCACTGGCTATCAGAGAGATGCAAATGGTATCAATGAGATACCATTTCATACTGGTCAGAATGCCCATCATAACCAAATCGACAAATAAGTGCTGGCGAGGTTGTGGAGGAAAATGCACTGTTGGTGGGAATGCAGACTGGTGTGGTCACTGTGGCAAACAGTGTGAAATTTCCTCAGGAAACTAAAAATGGAACTGCCTCTTGACCCAGCAATTCCACTGCTGGGATTATACCCTAAGAATCCTGAAACATCCATTCAAGAGAACCTATGCACCCCAATGTTCATAGCAGCACAATATACAATAGCCAAGTGCTGGAAGCAACCTAAGTGCTCATCTGTAAGTGAGTGGATCGAAAAACTATGGTACCTTTACACAATGGAATACTACACAGCTAAAAGAAAGAAGGAGCTCCTACCCTTTGTGACAGCATGGATGGGATTAGAGAGTATTATACTAAGTGAAATAAGCCAGGTGCTGAAAGACAAAGGGAACCCTTTTGTAGGTAATTAACTGTCTCTCTCTTTTGCTGCCTTTAAGATTCTCTCTTTATCTTCAATCTTTTCCATTTTAATTATTGTGTGTTTTGTTGTGGGTATCTTTGGGTTCATCTTGATCAGGAATCGCTGTGCTTCCTGAACTTGTGTGACTTTTTCCTTCACCAGGATAGGGACATTTCTGTAATTATTTCTTCAATCAGGTTCTCTATCCCTTTCTAGCTTTCTTTCCTTCTGGCACTCTGATAATGCAAATGTTCTCACATTTCATGTTGTCCTGAAGTTCCTTTAAATTATCCTTGTTTAAAATTCCCTTTTCTTTGTTGCTCTGATTGTTTTAATAACCTTGTCTGATGGAATCTAAACCATATCTCTGGTTTGATCCTCTGCTTCATCCAAACTACTGTTTATTGCTTCTGGTGTATGCTTTACTTCAGATAAGTTATTCGTAATTTCCAACTGGTTGTTTTTTCATGGGTTCTACATCTTTTTCATGTGGTTGAGCATCCTTAAAACAATTACTTTGAACTCTGATTCTGATAAATTGCTTGCCTCATTTCATTTAACTTTTTTTTCTGGAGATTTCTACTGTTCTTTCATTTGAGGTTTCTTTGTCTCCCCATTTTGGATATCTTTTTGAGTTTGTTTTTATGCATTTGATAAAACCTCTATGACTTACAGTTTTTGTGGGGTGTCCTCATATAGTATAGGTCCTGTGTGACCCACTGTTTTCACCTCCTTGATCTCCTAGGCTGGGTGCTCTAAGAATGTACCTTGTGTGGTTTATGTGGACTGTCCTATTGTTATTGGGGTTTTTTAAAGATTTTATTTATTTATTTTTAGAGAGGGAAGGGAGGGAGAGAGAGAGAGAGAGGGAAACATCAATGTGTGGTTGCTGGGGGCCATGGCCTGCAACCCAGGCATGTGCCCTGACTGGGAATCAAACCTGTGATGCTTTGGTTTGCAGCGTGTGCTCAATCCACTTAGCTACACCAGCCAGGGTGTTATTGGGTTTTAATTGCTTTTGGCCTATCCAAAGGTAGGCTCAACCCTCAGGCTGGCTGACTGTGAGGCTCAAACCTGGTCCAGGCAGGCAAGCTGCTGTACAGGTGCAGTTTCATGGTGATTTCTTCTGCCAGAACTTGGTTACAAGTCTTTACTTCAGTTGGCCTTAGTTGGTAATTCAGGATGATTGTTCCCCACTTTAGTTTTATTTCCAGTTTGGTTCTGTGAATAGGTGCAAGAAAGATCCACCAACTCTGCTGTTGTCTTAAAACTCCTCTCAAGCCATGTTTATCTTCTGTAAGATTTTATTTATTTATTTTTAGAGAGGGGGTGAGGGAAGGAGAAAGAGAGGGAGAAGAACATCAATATGTGTTTGCCTCTCATGTGGCCCTCATTGGGGACCTGGCTCACAACCCAGGCATGTGCCCTAACTGGGAATTGAACCAGTGACACTTTTGTTCACAGCCCACACTCAATCCACTGAGCTACACCAGCCAGGGCTCAAATCATTTTTAGATAAAGATAAGCTGCTGATATAATTTATCACTGGAATCTACACTGTTTTGTGTTTTCAGTATTTGGAAAATTTCAATATTGTAATGATAATCACAGATGCCACATAGAAGTGCTTAGACCAGCAGAATTTTAGGTCATTTTGCCTTTTCCTTGATACCTCAGTTTAGAGTATTCTGTGTTTTTCTCTACCATTGTACATCCCCAGTGTCTATCTTCTCTGACACTCATACCTGTGTTACACCAATTCATGAAAGATGTGAGAATTTTGTTGTTTAGCTTTCTCAATGTGTTAATAAATTAATGCACTATTCTATTCTAAAATTAATGCACTATTCTTCCTCAAATTCCTTTTTGAGGGAGAAAAATATTTATTAATTTACACCTATATATGACAGCAATGCAAAATCTTTTCTTCTTACTTTCTGAAGTTTTAGAATGGTGGGTTGTATTACAAGAGAAAATTCAATGTAAAGTCATCCTCCTGAATATTTTTGAAACTTGAAATTTATGGAACTGTGCAAAACTTTAGTGGATACCATACAGTGTTAGTAGTAGGGTTATATTTAATATATTATATCTATCATTAAATTATATAAAATGTCCTAGAATTTGGTATAAGAATAATCGCTGCTATTAACAATAAAATCCTCCTCACACACAACAGACAATTCTCTTATAATAGCTCTCACTATTCAGAGTAATCTTGCCTAATTCATGTTCATATTATAACTTGAAACAAGTCAATAACATGTCATTTTTTCCTCATCCATTTAGCAAAAGTTATATGCAATATTGATCATTCTAATTTATTAAATAGAATATAAATGTTATGTGTGATATTTCAGAGATTATATATAATTTTGTAGATTTGTCCTGATTTACCTTAAATTTGAACTATTTTGTCTACATAAAATAACAATTTTACAAGTTTCTTACTGCATGCATATTGTTTCTGAATATCAAGATGTTAAATTGACCTTGTATTGTATATAACATGGTACTGCGTTCTCTAGTTCTGGATCCCAGGACACAGACTAAGTAAGGATAAATATGCTACTGCAAAGAAAAATAAATGACACAACTAGAATAGTGTGTTGCAGGTATTCTTTATTAACTATGAATATTTTCCTTAATCATCATATGTAGTAAAAGATATTGGTAAAGCAGTGAAATAAGCCACACAGAGAAACACAAATGCTCCAAGGTATCACTTATATGTGGAATATAAAAAAAGAAAAGTCAAACTCAGGGCAACAAGAGTAGAAGATGGTTGTCAGGGTAAGGATGTGGAGGAAATAGAAATTTTGTTAAAGGTATCAGTTTCAGTTATAACATGAATAAGTTCTGAGGATTTAGAACATGGTGACTATAGTTGATAATATTATATCATAGTACAGAAATTTGCTAAGAAACACAGATAACATATGATCCAGAAATCACAGTAGCCATGATGTAAGTCATAGGAATTTTTACAGAAGGAAAGTAAGTATGGCCCTGGTTGGTGTGGCTTAGTGGATTGAGCCCTGGCCTGCAAACCAAAGGGCCATGGTTCGAGTCCCAGTCAGGGCACATGCCTGGGATGTGGGTCAGGTCTCCAGTAGGGGGTATCTGAGATATAACCACATACTGATGTTTCCCTTCCTCTCTTTTTCCCTCCCTTCCCTTCTAAAAATAAACAAATAAAATCTAAAATGTTTAAAAAATAAGTATGTTAGGTGGCAGGTGTGTTAATTAACTTGATTGTGGGAATCCTTTCACAATATATATGTAAATCAAATTATCACATTGCACACTATATATACACACATATATACTACAACTTTGTCAATTATTACTCAACAGAACTGAGATGAGAAAACCAGAGGACAATGAAAAGAGATGGTATAAATTATACTACCTACAATACTACATCTTACAAAACAGGTAAAATATGCCTATTGACAACAAACCATATGTGACATAAGAGTTCCAGAGAAGCATTAGGGCAGCATGAAGCTGAATAAAGAGTACCACTGAGATCCAGAAGTGTAGGAAAGAGGAAAAGACCAGGGCTCACTACAGGAAGGTCTACACATGCCAGGTCGGCACGTGCCAAATCTGCTGGACCCAAAGGGAAATCCATTAGTGATTTGTGAACAGGGGCAGTGTCAGTAATGTTGACAATACAAACTACTTCCCAAGAGCCCAAATAAAATGAACTATTTTAATGAAGGTCATCATTTTTTTCCTTCTACCCTTATGTTCCTCTTATTATATTACCAGCCCACCCAACACTGTCTTATGTTCAGGGCTGCTTCACAGAGGCACACATTTCCACTGGTTCCAGTCACAAGGCATGGGGATGCAGGGAAGATTTTTACTGGCTTTCTGTATGGTATTGTTGGCTCTGTCTGTATGGAAATATACGGGAAAGCCAAGTTTTTCCATAGCCTGAAAATAGGCAAACATGATATGTAATATGAGACCCTGGCCTCGGTACTCAGGGACAGTGGCTCCCATCCGCATCTCTCCTGTCTGGTCCATGACACCCCAGCACACAGGGTTCCCATCAGGCCCCAGCAGACATAAGGTGGGGAAGGTCTGGATACAGTGTTCAATGAACCTCTGACTCTTCTCATTGCCACCAAAATGCCAGAACTTATTCACCAGGGCAGCATGGGTTACACTGAGAGATGAGAAGCTAAACATGTCTTCATTGCTGTTGGAAACAAGGGAGAAGAAGAGCCCATTATATCACACACACTTTGGAGTACTATATTTGTTCTCCCTTAAATTGCCTTTAGATAATGCAAAAAAGAACACAGGTAAAGCTATAGGTTCTGCAACCAGAAGGCCTGGATGCATAACCTGACTAGCTGTGCAATCCTGAGCAGGCAGTGTAATGTCTCTCTGCCTCCATTTTTTCTTTATAGAACAGGAATATTAATAGCATCCTCATCAAAAGGCAGATTATGAATATTACATGAGGTATTGTGTAAGTATAGGACTTGTGCCCCACAAACAATAAGAATTACATAAAAATTAAATATTGTTCTTTTGGACATTACTATGATGTTCCACTTAGGATGCGGGAATTGCTATCACCCCTGTTTTACAGATAAGAAATACAGGTAAACAGAAAATAAGCAAGAGTCCCAAAGTACCTGCTAGCAAGCTTTAAACCAGAGCCAATAATCATGAACTCTTAGAATGTTAGTGGGAGGGGATCCTTGACCACTGTGGGGAAGTTCAAGTCCAGAGAGGGGCAGTGACGTGGAGTGCAGGTGGCACCCCAGGTATAGATCACTGAAGTCTGAAGGTGTTTGCTATGGTGTAAACAGCCTTCAGTAAGTGTCCTGTAAAGATCCCACAATGAAGAAGTGGAAATGCAGACTCAATCTCCAGTTAAGGTTTGAACTTCCACGTGATATAGCTGAACAAGCTATTCCCTCATCTTGCCCTGTTTTATGTCAAGAATAGTTGGACAATATCTCCTACTTTGTGTATCTCATGGGAAAAACAAGAAAGCCCAATGAGATTATTATACACTTGGACATGTCTTTCAGGTGTAATATGTGAATAAAGCTTTTCCATACTTATCAACACACAGAAGGGGAGCCATGGAATTGGGCATCTCCAAATCAAATTTTCACCATTACTGCTCTGTTATATTCAGTGTTGGACTGGAAATCAGAATTTGTTTAAAATCTTATGACTGGAAAACTTCTGCACTAAGAATTCATCATGACTATTAGGCATCTAGTATGTGTTGTGTTCTGGCTACTGAGGATCTATCAATGAACAACATAAACAGGGCACTTGCTCTTGTAAAGTTTGAAATATCATGGGAGAGGATCAAGTAACAAGCAGGTAGGTAAATGCCTCAAAGAACATGATTTCAGATCATGATAAGTGCAATAAAGTAAATAAAAATTGGGTTATGTCTTGAAAAATTATGTGAGAGGGTGTTTTTTGACACAGTGCTCTTAGAAGTACTCTCCAAGGAAATGACATTTGAAAGTGCAGATGTCAAAAAAAAGGATAAATATGTGAAGATTACAGGGAAGGGCATTTAGGTAGACAAGGAGCAAATTCAATGGCCCAAAGGCATGCATGAGTCTATGAGATCAAGTTGCAGAAAGAACAGAGCTGCTGATTTGAGTAAGCAAGGCAGACAAGAATAATGAAGTCTGAAAGGTGATAAATGCCAGTCTTGCAGGACCTGGAAAGTGCAGCTGAGAAAACAGCAATGGCTTTTCAGTGGGTGACTGACATGATCCATGTTACATATTACAGTAAAAGAATCACTCTGGAAATGGATCGCTGGGAGGCCAGTGTGAATGTAGGGATGGAAGTATTTAAAGATGTGAATGGTGAGAGCATCTTTTTTCAAACTCACAGAGTTTTGAGTTTTCCATCTTTCAGAGGTAAATTGTTTGTCTGTGGCAGGGAAGGGATCAGTCTTCTTGCTATCTTGGATTCCAAATAGAGGATGCATTGTACTGGCTTGACCTGGACCCGATTAATAACTGCGAGATTTTGTACTGCCTCATTCAGGCTGGACTGTGTACCTAGAGAGGGGTAAAGTATGGGGAGAAGTTAGATGCTACAAGAAGCTTCCCAATGGAAGTTTGCAGGATTTAAAGTCAGGCAATGTTGTTTCCGGTGTTACCCATGACCACATGACCTTGCCGTGTCACTACCTGAGCATGTTCCTCTTATGCAAAACAGAGACACTACTACTAGAAATCTTGACTATATCACTGTGAAATCAAAGGAGAAGTGACTATTAACCAATAGTAACCAAACTTGCATGGGCCTCTACAATATGTCCAAGTAATAGGTTAATATCATTTTGATCCTTATATTGACCCTATGTTTTATGTATTCTTATTATCTTTATTTTTTTTATATATGAACTGAATAATGGTTAAGTTACATCACTTGCTCAGGATCACAATGCAAGTAACTGGCAGAATAAGGATGCAACCCTAGGAAGTCTGATTCTGGAGGGCATGCTCATAACCATGGCAAAGGTCCCAGTGATCTGGGAGGTGCTTTAGGGCATAAGGAGCTGTCATTCTTATTCTGAATGCCACAGACCTGAAGGCCACAGGGGGAGCTCTTCTCTTACACTTAATCACCTTAAGAGATCCTGAATACAATTGCAAAATATATCCTCAAATAACAAGAAATTACATGACTCACATTTCTTCATATTAATTCCATAGATTGGAATGTTTGAATTCTACTCTACTGCCGAAAGAGGTATTGGCAGTTGCTACAAGGAATGAACATCAAGGTGAGTGTCTGGGTTTTAACATAAGGAAGTAAAGTCAATAGGGGAGTGTGCTTGGAATGAAAAGTGACCTGGCAGGTATACACATTAGCAGTCTCAGCTGCCGACACATCACAGATGTTACTTACTTTGGATCTGTAAATGTTGTTTCCAGTTGATGACATCTGACCTGCCAAGGAATTCTTGACAGTTTTGGGGGTTCTTAGAATAGATTTGGTAGGTGTTAGTGTAGTGATCAAAGTCATCTCTCATCTCCTGTTTGGTTGAATAATGTGGGATAAATCAAATTGATTAGACCAAGTGATTGGAATACTTGAGTTAAGGAATTTTGGTATACTTTAATCTTTTGCAAACTTAAATATTGATATTTTTTCTTAATGTACTATCTCAATCCCTGAATAATTTACACTATGAGGCCACATCATAGATTTATCAATGATGCAATTTGTAATTAAGAAAAACTTGCTAAACTAGGTATTCATATGTTGCATTACAATTTTGAATCAACCAAAATTATACTATTTTGCTATAATTCTGAAATCCTCAAGAGAGAGTATTATTATTAAAAGCAAACTACCTTCTATTGAAAGAGTAAATCTTACTCTATTTTAAAGAGTCTCAGAACAAATGAATAATGAACATGACAATATTGAAATCAACAAGGTAACCTTGTATTAGAATTTTCACATATATATGATAATGCTATACAAGATAAAGACATCTAATCTCTTTCAAATGTAAACCACAATGCACTATTATTTTAAAAGTAATTTGCATTTCTAACAAAACTGAAACTCAAAATTTCTTCAATGTATCTTCTCAAAGTTAATATATCAGATGGGGTTATTGGAGAATGAAGGAAGGAGTTAGAGAAAAACATCCCAACGAGGGTAGAGTAGCTGAAAAGTGTCACACAGAAATGCACTAATACTCAGCATTAATACCATTGGAAATCATAGCTTTTAAGATCAATTTAAAAAGAAAAAATTTGCGCCCAATCCCAGCCACTGGACCACACCTAAAACAAAAGCAAACTAAGTTCCAACTAGAACAGGAACAGAACCACAGAAATAGAGATCACATGGAGGGTTAGCAACAGGGGCGTGGGAGGAGGATAGAAGGGGAAAAGGTACAGAGAATAAGTAACAGAAATGGTATGTAGAAAATAGACAGGGGGAGTACAAGAATAGTATGGGAAATGTAAAAGCTAAAGAACTTATGACACATGGACATGAACTAAAGTGGGAGAATGTGGGTGGGAGAGGGTGTACAGGGTGGAGGGGAGTGAAGGGGGGAAAATGGGACAACTGTAATAGCATAATCAATAAAATATATTTAAAATTTTATTTTTAGATTTTAATATTTAATTTATTTTTAATAAATATTTTATTTTTAATTTTACTTATTTATTTTTAGAGAGAGGGGAAGGGAGGGAGAAAGAGAGGGAGAGAAACATGAATGTGTGGTTGCCTTTCATGTGGCTTGCACTGGGGACCTGGCCTGCAACCCGGGCATGTGCCCTGATTGGGAATCCAACCATGACCATTTGGTTTGTAGGCCAGTGCTCAATCCATTGAGCCACACCAGCCAGGGCCAATATTTAATTTAAATATCTTTGATTGCCTTGTGTTTAGTTTGGTATTTTTTAAACTTTATTTTATTGTTTACACTATTTCAGATGTTTCCATTTTTCCTTCTTTGCTCACTTCCATCTAGCTCTTGTCAACCCCCTTCCCTCAGGCCATCACCACATGGTTGTCTGTTGGTAAGGTATATACATTCTTTGATCAATCCCTTCACCTTCTTTCATTCAGTCCCACCCTTCTCCACCCATCCCCTACCCCTCCTCCTCTGCCACACAGCTGTCAGTCTGTTCCATGTATTCATTGTCTCTGTCAGTATTTTCTTAAAAAGCATTATAAATTTAAATTTTATTTCTAAATATTTTATGTTGAAATGATATTATATGGCTACATATTCCTATGCATAATTTTTTGCTTTATATTTTCTAATATGCTTATAGCATATTTGTATTTGAAATGTAGAAACTACTTAGTGTTTTTTTATTTTTTATATATTTTTTAAAGATTTTATTTATTTATTTTTAGAGGGGAAGGGAGGGAGAAAAGAGAAGCAGAGAAACATTAATGTATGGTTGCCTCTCTCATGCCCCCTGCTGGGGGCCTGGCCCAAAACCCAGACATGTGCCCTAGACTGAGAACCAAACCGGCAACGCTTTGGTTAGCAGGTTGGCACTCAGTCTACTGAGCCACACCAGCTAGGGCCATTTTTTATTTTTTAATTTTATTTTAAATTAAGGTTTACATTCAATATTATTTTGTATTAGTTTCAGGTGTACAGCATAGTGGTTAGACAATCACATACTTTGCAAAGTGGCACCCTGGTATTTTTAGTACCCTCCTGGGACCATACACAGTCATTACAATATTACTGAATGCATTCCCTATGCTGTACTTTACATTCTTGAGACTGTTTTGTGACTACCAATCTGTACTTCTCAATCCCTTTATCTTTTTCACCTCGTGCCCCAGCTACTCTCCTCCTGGCAACCATCAATGTTTTCTGTATCTATATTTTTTGTTCAACTATTTTGCCCTTTCAATTCCATACTATTTTTTGTTCAACTATTTTTCTCTTTCAATCCCATACAATGGCAAGATTTCATTCTTTTTTATGGCAGAGCAACATTCACTTGCACACACGTATGACCCCTTTGGCTATATACTCAAAAGTGAAGTCACTAGATGATAAGGAAGTTCTATTTTTAATTTTTGGGGGGAAATGCCATACTGTTTTCCATAGTGGCTGTACCAGTCTGCATTCTGATTTAAGATTTGCTTTGCTCCACAACCTGGCCAACACAAGGTGTTTGTTGATTTATTGATGATAATGATTCTGACAGCTGAAGGTGGCATCTCATTTTTTTCTTTATTTTTATTATTGACACTATTAAAATGCCTCCATTTCCTCTCTTCTTTCCACCTTCTCCATCTAGCCTGCACCCCACTTTCCTCTGGCCATCACCACACCATTATCTGTGTCTATGGGTTATGCATACATGTTCTTTGGCTAATCCCTTAACTTTCTTTCATCCAGTCTTCCCCCTCCCCCACAGCTGTCAGTTGTTTCCATGTAACCATGTTCAATGTTAGTTTTAGCTTGCATTTCTCTGATGATTAGTGAAGTTGAGCAACTTTTCATATGTTTATTGTCCATTTGTGTGTCCTCTTTGGAGAAGTATGTATTCAGGTTCTGTCCCCATTTTTAAATTGGGTTATTTTGGTGTTATGAGTTCCTTATATAACACATTTTGGTTATTAACCCTTTATCAGATGTATGATTGGCAAATATCTTCTCTCATTCAATAGATTTTCTTCTCATATTGTTGATGGTTTTCTTCACTGTCCTACAGGCATTATTCCTCTAAACCCACTGTATACAAAAACGTTTTAGTTTGAGTTAGTCCTATTTGTATATTTTGTCTCTCTTCTTTTTTATGCCCCAAAAGATATAGGAGCAAAAATAATGCTAAATGTCAGAGATTTTACTGCCTATGTTTTCTCCTATGACTTTTATCATCTTGAGTCTTACATTAAAGTTTTTAATACTTTTTAAATTTATTCTTGTATATGCTGTAAGAAAGTGGTCTACATGTTCTTGCCTCCTTTGTCACATATTAATTAACTATAGAGGAATTGGTTTATTTCTGAGCTGTCTATTCTTTTCCATGTTCTGTATCTATCTTTATGCCAGCACCATGCTTTTTGAATATTATAGTCTGGTAGTATAGTTTGATATTGGATAGCATGCTACATCAACTCTATTTTTCTTTCTCAAGATAGCTGTGACTCTTTGGGGTATTTTGTGGTTCCATATCCATTTTTGAAATATTTGTTCTAGTTTTGGTAATTTATAAAAAATTTGCATCAACTGGTAATACTGCTTTGTTAAACAACACCTGTACAACAACATACAAGACAAGGTGAGAGTTGTGAATACCAGTAAGCCTGCTGGAGAAGAGAAACCACCAACATGTACAACAAGAGAGCCCGCACAAATGGAATAAAGGGCACTCTTAGAGCATCAAGACAAGGAGAACAAGGAGACCATAACACGGAGTCACGGAGTCCCACAGAACTCCTACCACAGAAGTTCATCTTGCAAAGACACCTGGCAAAGCAGAGCATCAAGAATTTCAGAAACAAACAGTCACCTAAAATGGGGAGACAAAGAAAGAACCAAAAATCTAAAGGAATAGAAGACTTCCCAGTAAAAGAACTAAATGAAATGGAGGCAAGCAAACTATCAGATATAGAATTCAAAAGAATGGTTATAGGGATGCTCAAGGAACTCACAGACAACTACAAGGAACTGGGCGGGAAATACAACAGTATGAAAAAGGAAATAGAAATTATAAACAAGAATCAGGAAGAAATGAAGAATACAATTTCTGAAATAAAAAACACATTGAAAGGAATTACAAGCAGGATGAAGCAGAGGACTGAATTAGCAAACTGGAAGACAAGGTAGAAAGAAATAGCCAGGTAGAGCATCTACACAAAAAACAACTAAAAAAATATGAAGATAGCATAAGGGAACTGCAAAACAACATGAAATACAACAACATTTGAATCATAGAAACACCAGAGGGAGAAGAAAAGGAGCAAGGGATAGAAAACCAGCTGGAAAAAATAATGACAGAAAACTTCCCAAACCTGGAGAGAGGAAAAGCCACACAAGTTCAGGAAGCACAGAGGGTCCCAATCAAGATGAACCCAAAGAGGCCCACTCCAAGACATATCATAATTAAAATATCAAGTTTTGAAGACAAAGAGAATCTTAAAGCAGCAAGAAAGAAACAGAAAGTAACATATAAGGGAACTCTGATAAGGTTTGCAGCTGATTTCTCAACAGAAGCACTACAAGTCAGAAAGGAATGGCAAGGAATATTCCAAGTAATGAAAAGCAAAGGCCTGCAACCAAGACTACTCTACCCAGCAAGACTCTTAATTAAAATGGAAAGTGAAATAAGGAGCTTCCTGGACAAAAGAAGGCTGAAAGAGTACACCTCCACCAAAACAGCACTGCAAGATTTGCTAAAGGGACTGCTTTAAGAACAGGAAGAAGGAAGAAAAAGGTATATATATATAGAGAGAGAGAGGAATACAGGTATTAAGGGGGGGAGTGAATAAGCACTAATCAATAATAATCTTAAATGTAAATGGATTAAATGCTCCAATCAAAAGACATAGGGTAGCTGAATGAATAAGAAAACATGACCCACACATATGCTGCTTACAAGAGACCCACCTCAGAAAAAAAGACCTACCCAGACTGAAAGTGAAGGGTTGGAAAAAATATTCCAAGCAAATGGACAGGAATAAAAAAGCTGGTGCAGCAATACTTATATCAGACAAAATAGACTTCAAAACAAAAGCCATAAAAAGAGACACAGAAGGGCACTTCATAATACCCAAAGGAAGAATTTATCAAGAAAACATAAACATTGTGAACATATATGCACACAACATAGGAGAACCAAAATATATAAGAAAATCTTGGAGGACTTCAAGAAAGATATGGACAGCAACACACTTATATTAGGGGATTTTAACACCCCACTGTCAAAAAAGGATAGATCTTCCAAAACCTTCCAACAAGCATATTGCAGCATTGAACCATGCCCTAGATCAAATATAGTTAACTGATATAAACTTTAATCCCAAAAAGGAAAGTACACATTCTTATCAAATGCACATTGAACATTTTCAAAGACAGACCACATGATAAGACACAAAACAAGCCTGAACAAATCGAAGAAAGTTGAAATCATATCAAGCATTTTCTTGGACCACAAAGACCTGAAACTAGAAACCAACCTCAAGGAAAAAACTCAAAAACACTCAAATTCATGGAGATTGAATAGCATGTTATTAAACAATGAATGGGTTAAGAATGAGATCAAGGAAGAAATCAAAGAGTTTCTGGATATCAAAGTGTATTACAAGTCTACAGTAATCAGAACAGTCTGGAACTGGCATAAGAACAGACACATAATCAATGGAACAGAATAGAGAGCCCAGAAATAAGCCCATGTCTGTATGGTCAATTAATATTTGATGATGGGGGCAGAAGCATAAAATGGAGTTTTATGCTTCTTCAACAAATGGTGTTGGGAGATCTGGACAGCTACATGCAAAAAAATGAAACTCCACCACCACTTACACCATACACAAAAATAAACTCAAGATGGATAAAAGACTTAAATACAAATGAGGACACCATAAAGGTCCTAGAGGAGAACACAGGGAGTAAAATCTCATATATTCTATGCAGCAATATTTTCACCAATATGTCCCCTAGATCAAGGGACATAAAATAAAGAATAAACAAATGGGACTTCATCAAAATAAAAAGCTGCTGCATGGCTAAAGAAAACGTCAGCTAAATGAAAAGGAAACCAACTGTATGGGAAAAAATGTATTTGCAAATGGTACCTCAGAAAAGAGATTGGTCTCCAAAATATATGGAAAGAACTCACACGAGCCCACTCCAGGAAGACAAGCAATCCATTTAAAAAATGGGCAAAGGACCTGAACAGACACTTCTCCAAGGAGGACATACAGAAGGCCCAGAGACATATGAAAGGATGCTCAGCATCACTGGCCATGAGAGAGGTGCAAATTAAAACCACAATGAGACATCACTTCACCCCAGACAGAATGCCCATCATAACCAAATCAACAAACAAGTGCTGGCGAGGTTGTGGAGAAAAGGGAACCCTAGTACATTATTGATGGGAATGCATTGGTGATGCAGCCACTGTGAAAAGCAGTTTGGAATTTCCTCAGAAAACTAAAAATGGAACTGCCTTTTGACCCAGCAATTCCACTGCTGGGATTATACCCTAAGAATCCTGAAATACCAATTCAAAAGAATGTATGCACCCCAATGTTCATAATGGCACAATTTACATTAGCCAAGTGTTGGAAGCAAGCTAAGTGCCCATTAGTAAATGAGTGGATCAGAAAACTTTAGTAGATTTACACAATGGAATACAATGCATCTGAAAGAAAGAAGGAACTCCTACCTTTACACCTTCCTTTCCAATTTGGATGCTTTTTACTTCTTTTTGTCTGTTTTCTGTGGCTAGGATTTCCAGTACTATGTTGAGCAACAGTAGAGAAACTGGACATTTCTATCTTGTTACTGATTTTAAGGAAAACTCTTTCAGTTTCCCCTATTTAGTATGATGTTAGCTGTGAGTGTATCATACATGAGTTTGAAGTTTTTTTAAAAGTCTGGTCCTGAAAACATATTCTCAAACACAGGCATTGCAATTCGTTCTTTATGTTTCCCTAACATTCTTCATATTTAACTACGTATTTTTAGGTGTTATTGTCTCTGCTTGGAATGCACCCTCTGTTCTTGTCAACCTGTCAAAAACCCATTTATCTTCAAAATCCAGGTTAGGTGAAATGTTTACCAGGAAGGTTCTCTGATCCTCTCTCTGCATGTCCTGACATCTGTAATTTTAATCATCATCTGCTCAGTGCTGTGTCTGTAGCTTGTAAGTTCTCATATGTTATTGTACATTTTCACACCATGTTGTAATTTATTTGCTTATCTATCTTTTCCTCCAGGCTGTGAGCTCCTTGGGGACAAGGACTTATTCACCATTACTGGCATACATTTCTGTGTCCCATGGCTCTACATTGCCAGGTGCAGGTAGGCATATATAGCAGATAGAAGTGTATGCATTCTACATCTGGCACCTTACCTCCTCCTGAGGGCGGACCACCACTGTATTAAAATCAGGCCACTTGTCCACCAGAGCTTTTAGGTTGAATGAGTTTCCCTGGATCATGTGAAAGACAGTCCCATAAACCTGCAACATCACCACAAAGCGAGAAGGTCAGCTTATCAGGGAGAGGTGGCAAAGTGCTCTGTTTGATCAGGACAAGGATTATTTCTTTGAAATCACAGTAAGTAGCTTGTAGGACATCTACTCAACAGTTTTCAGGTACTACTTTATTATTTTAATGGAAGTAGATTTTGGTGACAAACCATGAAAATACTATGTGAATATAGTTAAATACCCAGATAAATAAAATAAATTAACTAAAAATCATCCAATATTACATTCTAGAATTTATTGACATATCATTCCATTTTATTCCACTTATTTACATAGTCACACATAATTTTAAATAACATCTCTAAATTACCTATATATACATATATATTTTGTTTAACAACCACCCCATCCACACACCCATACACAAATACACACACTATACAATGGGCATATTTTTGTGTCAATAAACACAAATCTACAAAACCATTTTTAATTACTGCATAATATCCATTATATGGAAGAATTCTAATTTAATTTTTCTATCTCCCATTGCTGGTCATTTCATTTTTTTGTAATTTTTTTGTTTAACAGTTATTCTTCAAGGAACATTTATTTTGCAAAAATCTTTGCAAATATGCCTATTATTACAGATTTTTTAAGGGAAATGTCTGGGACAAAGGTTAACTGCTGTTTAATGATTTTTCTTACATGTATCTCCAAATAACACTCCTGAAAGGTTCAATAACCTCCTTCCCACTTAATGAGTAATGACAGAGCATAATGTTTGGCGACCAAAGTCTAAGAACATTACCCATTGGGGGTCTGTTTAGACTTTTTAACAGGCATCTGTTGAATCTGTCGACAGGCAATGTTCATCAAGAAGAACATTGAAGAGGCTGAGAAAGAGCCTCTAAGCTAGAGGAGGCACTGTGGTTGCTGGGACAGGTTAAACAGCAGTCCATACTAGGGACAAACTCAGGCCCTCAGTGCAGCTGAAACATGGTATTTTGCACATGGTATGGAAAGATGCTAAAGACCAGGACCAATAGAATAATGAACAACTCAATAACCAAAGACCATACCTCTCCTTGTGCTTTCCTACCCTTGTCATGAAATGTTATTTCAGGCTCAGGAGAAAGAAGAGAAGACAATCTTTGACTTTACTAAGTTTCTATAACGTGATTTAATTTCTGCCATCAGTAAGGGCTCCATATAAATATTACATGCAGTTTCAGGAAAAATACAGAGGTTAATTTTTTTAAATATTTGAGTTTTCCTGGCTGGCGTAGCTCAGTGGATTGAGCACAGGCTGTGAACCAAAGCATCACAGGTTCAATTCCCAGTCAGGGCACATGCCTGGGTTGCAGGCCATGACCCCCAGCAACCGCACATTGATGTTTCCCTCTCTCTCTCTCTCTATCTCCCTCCCTTCCCTCTCTAAAAATAAATAAATAAAATCTTTAAAAAAATAAAATAAAGTGTGTTGTATAATTCTCAACATCTGGGTATTTTCCAGATACTTTTATGGTTTTTAAAATTTTAAGTTTAATTCCACATTGTTCAAAGATATACTTGAAATGATTTTAATTCTTTTAAAATTAATTATTAAAAATATAGGAACTCTAGCCAAGATGAAGGCATAGGTAGATACCCTTTGCCTCCGCACACAACCAAAAGAAGAACAACAAATTTAAAAACAAAAATAACCACAACTGTCAGAATTTGAAGTGTATGGAAGTCTGACAACCAAGGAGTTAAAGAAGAAACATTTATCCAAACCAGTAGGAAGGGTGGAGATGAGCAGCTGGGATGGAGAGGACTTGAGGAAAGACAGCAGCTGGTGGACCAGGTGGTCCCATATTTGTGTGAGGATAAACCAAGAGGAACAACTGGAGAGAGAGACAGACCACGCAACCCAGGATTCCAGCATGGGGAAATAAAGCCTCAAAATCTCTGACTGAAAAAACCTGAGGAGGTTGAGGCGGCAGGAGAAACTCCAAGCCTCACAGGTGAGATAATTGGAGAGACCCACAGGGCCCTAGAAGGTACACAAACCCACTCACCTGGGAATCAGCACCAGAAGGGCCCAATTTGCTTGTGGGTAATGGAGGAAGTGACTGAAAGCCAGCGGAGAGTTGAGCAAGCAGCATTGTTCCCTCTCAGACCCCTCCCCCACATACAGCCACAAAGCATACACCTGGGTTACCCCTCCCTGATGAATACCTAAGGCTCTACCCCTTCCTATGTAACAGGTGTGCCAAGACAAAAAAAAATGGCCCAAATAAAAGAACAGATCAAAGCTCTAGAAAAAAATACAACTAAATGATGAAGAGATAGCCAACCTGTCAGATGCAGAGTTCAAAACACAGATAACCAGGATGCTCACAGAAATGGTTGAATATGGTCACAAAATAGAGGAAAAAAATGAAGGCCATGAAAAATGAAATAAAGGAAAACGTACAGTGAACCAACAAGAGTTATGGGAAGGAAACTGGGACTCAAATTAATGGTTTGGAGCAGAAGGACAAAATAAACATTTAACTAGAACAGAATGAAGAAACACGAATTCAAAAAAAAAATGGGAAGAGGCTCCAGAACAACTTTAAAAGTTTCAACATCCGAATCATACGGGTGCCAGAAGGAGAAGAGGAAGAGCAAGAAATTGAAAACTTACTTGAACACATAATGAAGGAAAACTTCCCTAATTTGGCAAAAGAAATAGATTTCCATCAAGTCCAGGAAGCTCAAAGAGTCCCAAAGAACTTGGACCCAAGGAAGCATACACCAAGGCACATCATAGTTACACTACCCAAGATTAAAAAGGAGAGAATTTTAAAAGCATCAAGAAAAAAGGAGACAGTTACCTACAAAGGAATTCCCATAAGACTATTAGCTGATTTCTCAAAAGAAACCTCACAGGCAGGAAGGGGCTGGAAAGAAGTATTTGAAGTCATGAAAGGCAAGGACCTACATCCAAGATTACTTTATCCAGCAAAGCTCTCATTTAGAATGGAAGAGCAGATAAAGTGCTTCCCAGATAAGGTCAAGTTAAAGGAGTTCATCGTCACCAAGCCCTTATTATATGAAATATTAGAGGGACTTATCTGAGGAAAAGAAGAAGATCAAAACTATGAATATTAAAATGACAACAAACTCACAATTATCAACAACCGAACATAAAAAAAAACAAAGCCTAAAATGAACTAGCAAACAACTAGAACATTAACAGAGTCACAGAAATGGAGATCATATGGAGGGTTATCAGTGGGGAGTGGGTGGGGGAGAATGGTGGAAAAGGTACAGGGAATAAGAAGCATAAATGGTAGGTACAAAATAGACAGGGTGGAGTTAAGAATAGTATAGGGAATGGAGAAGCCAAAGAACTTATATGTGTGACCCATGGACATGAACTTAGGTCGGGGAATGATGGTGGGAGGGGGTACAGGGCAGAGGGGAATAACACAGAGAAAAGAATGGGACAACTGTGATAGCATAGTCAACAAAATATATTTTTAAAAATATGGTCTTCCCTGGTAAATATTCAATGTGCATTTAATTATAATATGTATTTGCCTATTGTTGGCTTATGATATTGTTCAGCTCTTCTATATACTTACAGGTTTTATGGCTATTCTGTAAATTACTGAGAGAAAAGTGGGGAAGGTTCCAATTATATCTGGGGGTTTACCTATTTCCTCTTTCAGTCTCATCAGTTTCTACCTCATGTTCTTTGAACCTCAGTTGTTAAGTGTATATATTTTAGCATTTTTGGTCTTTTGGTGAATTAATAATTTGACCAAAATACAATGACAATTTTTTTCTTGGTAATATTCAAATCCCTTTGAAATATATATTATTGCAAAAAAACACATAAAACACAAGCCAAAAAAGCCCTCGTACTGTAGAATGTCACTGATCCATTTCTAAAGCTAAATTTCCATCTTACCTCAAATTAAACATAATCTATTCAAGTGTGACAAAATAGAAATTGACTTTTTATTAATTTAAAAAAACTATAATGGTTAGCCTTTCATCAGTCACTTGATTGCTTAGAAATAATAATTTAAACATTAATGTGTTAGTTTCAATAACTTTGCCATTGTGGAAAAACTCTTATTGTTATTTGACACAATTCTAGAAGGGCACAAGGCAATGAATGGTTTTGGGTCATCACACAGTAAAGATCATAGTGGGCTCAAAACATAGCATTGTCACACACTACTGGTGTGATCTTGGTCAAGTCATGTAACTGACCCTCCAGATCCTGTTACATTAGGTGGATGTTATATAACTGCCTTGCAGCAAGATGGTACAAAGTAAATAAGATGCAAGATGAGTGAGTGTCTGGCACACAACAGGTGCTCAGTGAATGCTAATTATCTTCTGACTTTTTCCATAAGGCAGTTGCTAGTCCTTTTTTTCCCCCTAAGAAGGCTTCACCCTCACCTTTAAGGACTCAGGGAGGAAATTCCTCAAGGATTTCTCTAGCATCTGCAGCACTTGTGGGCCCTGTAACTGGAACATCTTGGCAGGTACCTTAGCCTAAAGAGGGAATAAGAAACATCAAGAAATTGAAAGTGCTGAGAGACATACAATGACACCAAATAGACCCAGTAGGCAGTTGTAGCTAGTGACCTGGCCTTTATCCCAGCTGTTCCACTGGTGTCTCATTCACTCAACTCCATACTTACACCAAGGAAAGGTAAGTCTGGCAGACTTACCAGAATTCCAATAAATAAAGATTCATTGAGATTAACAAATATATTCTGTAGCATGAATGAGCATTCTTTGAGATTAAGTTTCCATTGATGACAAGCCTGACTTTGACAATTAGAAGCTATGTGACACTGGGCAAGTTACTTACTCCTCTGTGCTTTGATTTTTTCATTGATAAATGACAATGACTACAGTTCCTGTCACATAGAGCAGTTGAACAGTTAGATAAATCAATACATGTAAGGTTCTCAGAACATGTCCAGGACATAGTAAGCACTCTATTAATGATTATCTTAATGATTATCATTTTTATTGTCATTAGTAGAAGCAATAGTTAACCCAGTGTCATCCAAAAAGGTCCATCGAGTGACACCTCTGCACAAGAATTTGTGGTAAGGATTAAATGGGGGATAATTCATATAATTTGGCACCTGGTAAATGAGATAATAAATTTTAAAAATTTAGCAGAGTACCTGGAATGGAGTAGCCCTCAGTACATGTCAGCCACTTTTTATTATTTCTGTCATTGTAACTTAAACAAAGGATATCTTTTCTTGTTTCTGGTTGATGATGATTACGAATAATTCTGCTGTGAACAATTTGTGTACTACTACTAGAACATATGCTTTTATTCCTTGCAGGTAAATGCATAGAAGTGTAGTTTCATGGTTATAGAGTAAGTCAATGTTGAACTTCATAAAAAACCTGCCAAATGGTTTTCATAAAGTGGCTGCACTAGTTTATATTTCCACAGCAGTGTATGAGCATTCTGTGTGCTCCACATCCTCTCCGACACTTCTCCAGAAAAGTCTCTTGTGCAATAATATTCAGAACCATCAACATAGTAGTTAAAACCCTCAACAATACTCTTCAAATCAGTAAAGCAAAAAGATTTGTAGAGCTAATTCTTTTTTATAGTCTATTTTTTTATTTTAATCATTGTTCAAGTACAGTTTTCTTCCTTTTACTCCCAGTCCAGCCCACCCACCCAACCCTCCCCACTTCCCTCCCATTACCACCCTCCCCCTAGTTTTTGTCCATGTGTCCTTTAAATTTGTTCCTGGAAACCCTTCCCATTCTCCCCTGAAATTCCCTCTTCTCTCCCCTCTGGTCACTGTCAGCTGTCCTCTATTTCAGTGTCTTTGGTTGTATTTTGCTTGTTTCTTGTAGAGCTAATTCTCAAAGCAGGCCAAAACACTGATGTCAAAGTGTGTTTCAGTAGATGTAATTCTCTGGTGGGTAGACAACATTGAATTTGACCCAAGTCCTGTTATCCTGGACAACGTGAATGTCAAAGAAGTTCATCCACTGACTTTGTGTTCCTGAAATGGTTCAATGTAGAGAACCAGCCTTCCCTCATGTGACTTAAGACACATGAATGTTCTCCTTGTTTACCTCTAAAAAAGCCAGATGCTGATGTTCTAATTGCCAATTTTTGTACTGTAAATGATTGGCTAAACTATGAATCCCCACTGATATTTCAGAACAAACTACGTGCTAACCAAATTCAAGTTAATTTCTCTCTGTCCCCTGGGCTGGGTTACCTCTACCAACAAGAGGCCGAACCCAGGGTAAATATTCTCTGAGTTGTGTCCATGCTGCCTCTCTTTGATTCCACTCTTCCCGCCCCCCCCTGAATTCCCTAGGGCCCAGTTTACTCTTCCCTCATACATGGTTAGCTTGACAGTTTAACCCCACAATTCCACCAGAACAAAATTCTGCTGTGTTAGTAAAGTGTTAGTGCACTCTGCCAATCTTTAAGCTTCTCTCCTCTACACTGGACTGAACTTTGACACACACTAAACCAGGGCCAATGCTGGCAGCAGGAAGGCCATCCTTAGCAGAAAGACAATCCTTGTACCTTGCTTACTCCTCTTTACAAAAGGTGGGATTACAGACTGATGCAACCACTATGGAAAACAGTATGGAATTTTCTAAGAAAACTAAAAGTGGATCTGCCTTTTGACCCAACAATTCCACTGCTAGGATTATATTCTAAGAACGCTGAGACACTAATCCAAAAGAACCTTTGCACCCCAATGTTCAGAGCAGCACAATTTACAATAGCTAGGTGCTGGAAGCAACCTATATGCCCATCAGTAAATGAATGGATCAAAAAGCTATGGTACATTTACACAATGGAATTCTATGCAGCAGAAAGAACGAAGGAGCTCCTACCCTTTGCAACAGCATGGATGCAACTGGAAAGCATTATGCTAAGTGAAATAAGCCAGGCAGTGAAAGACAAATACCACATGATCTCACCTTTAACAGGAACCTAAACAACAACAACAACAACAAAAAACAAAGAAGAAAAATATAACCAAAGACACTGAAATAGAGAATGGGCTGACAGTGACCAGAGGGGAGAGGGGAGGGAATTTCAGGGGAAAGGGGGAAAGATTTACAGGAACAAGTGTAAAGGACACATGGACAAAAACTAGGGGGAGTGGAAATGGGAAGGAGGTGGGGAAGACTAGGGGGTGGGCTTGGATGGGAGTAAAAGACAGAAAACTGTACTTGAACAACAATTAAAATAAAAGTAAATAAATAAAATAGAAAACAAACAAATAAACAAATGAACACACAAAACAAGAATACTCATTTCTGCCTGACCTTTCAGGGGGCTCTCCCTGTTGAAAGTCCCCCTCTCCCTACTATAACAACCCTTTTCCCATGTCTTGCAATAATCTGTTCAAATGAATTGTCTCCTAATCTAAGTCTAGAGTTGATTTTTATTTACCAATGATTTGTACAGCTTTATTATAATAATGAACTTTGTGACTCTCTTGGAAATCTAAGTATCAATCTATTCATTTATTCATTTGCTCAATAAATATTGATTGGGAACTTTTAATTTGGATTTATTGGGGTTACATTGGTCAATAATATTATATAGGTTTCAAGGCCACAATTCTGCAATATGTCATCTGCACATTGCATTGTGCACTCACCATCTAAAGTTTAGTCTCCTTCTGTCTCCTTTTGCCCCCAGTAACCCTCCACCACCTGTCCCCCATGGCCTCTCCCCTCTGATAATCACTATACTGTTGATTTTGAACTTAAGTGTCATTGCTTTGTAAGGTGCCACCTAAGCTCAGCTGCACTACATTTCCTGGGATTCCCTTCCCTACATATTTCCAGTTCTTGACCTCTCCCACTTTAAATTCATTTTTCTTTCCCAGTTACCACCTCTCCTGTGTAGTTCAATCTTCTGCTTCAGATGGGAATAACAGTCATATGGAAGCTAGCTTAACTAGCACACAGAAGTGCAGAGGGCTGAATCTGGTAACTAATCTACCACTGATTCTCTCTCTGGATGCTGACTGATACACTTAACTCCAATCAATCATCTGAGTGACAGGGAGCTTGGAATAAAGTAGAATAGATAGATTTCTTGTTACCTAAAAACTCATAATCTAATAAAGGAAATTAAAAATGCACAAAATTTAAAAATGCCCCATAGAGAGAACCAAATTACCTCCTATGTGTGGCCTAGATTTAATAACATTTTGAAGCACCATGTTTATGGGGGACACTTTGATGTGGTCTAAAATGTAAATCATTGTTCATTTCATTTTTATTAATAAATGATATTTAAGACTGATTCACTTACTGCAGCCCCAATACTCACATTCTCTTGAGCCTTATCTCTTCCTTAAACCTAAGGGTCTGGTACATACAGTATATACTACTACATAATATAAAGAGTACTCATATATTTTCAATCACTGTATCAATTTTAGTTTCTCAAAATTATTGGGTCATAACACGGCAACTAAAAATGATGGGCCAAGGAAAATCAAGTGTTTTGCTTAAAGTCAATGAGATCTCACGAGAGGGAGGTATTACCTTTAAGGGAAGCTCATATTAGGGTTCTTGCACGAGGCTGCACTGGAACTGGCCATTCAGGAAGGATGGTGTTAGCTGCCATACTCCTGGGAAGCACTGGCTAACTCCATCTGTTCAGAACTATGCAGCAAGTGTTCTTGTGAGACTCAGGGTGTGTTAGCCCTGAATTTGCAAACCTCTGTTAATAGCAGAAGAAAGTCACTGATGTCTAAGTTCATTTACCCACCTACTCTCCTGACTGTTCTTTTAAAGTTCACCTTTCTTCTGTTTTTGGTGTCCATGACCTTTTGTGAAGTAACATTAACTTATGGGAAAGTACTGGACAAGCTCTTTCTCTTTCTAAGAATAATTTACATAAATAATCTATCATTATTTAACTACTCTAAAACCCATTCACATGAAAGTTATGATGTATATGGTGCCGTATGACAGAGCTGTAATGAAAAAGGTAGACAAATGATAGTTCAGCTGAGATTTTTAAAATTACATTTCTTTTGTATGGTTTTAATTAACAATTAATCTCATCTGTGTTGTACTAGAATCTAGCTTGTCCTTTTGAAATTCTAAGTAGGGAACTTCATTTTCCTAGTCATTATTTATCCAAGGAAAACTATCTGACTACCACCCTGGCAGGTGTAGCTCAGTGGATTGAGCGCGGGCTGCGAACCAAGTGTCGCAGGTTCGATTCCCAGTCAGGGTACATGCCTGGGTTGCAGGCCATAACCCCCAGCAACTGCACATTGATGTTTCTCTCTCTCTCTCTCTCTCTCTATCTCCCTCCCTTCCCTCTCTAAAAATAAATAAATAAAATCTTAAAAAAAAAAGAAAACTATCTGACTACCTTAAATGTTACTAAGGATTAACTAGGATAATATTTGCATAGTATGTTTACAAACTGTGCTATATAAATGTCACCTGGACCAGCATATTCCATTCTGGACCGGCACATTCCGTTCCAGAGGTTGTTACAGTTTCTGTTGCCTACCTCCAGTGGTGAGCTTCCAAAACTTTGTACATTTATTTACTAATTCAGAACAAAAGCCTGACTTTAGCCAGTCAAGAATTTCTCACAGAACTAGGCTACTGCCCTATACACAGTAGGTTCCTTTTAAAAAAAATTAATTTAACTTTTTTATTGTTCGAGTACAGTTGTCTGCATTTCACCCTACCACTCGCCCCCCCCCCCCACCGCCCCAGCCATTCCCACCTCCCTCCCCTGATTCCACCCTGCCTTGGTTTTGTCCTTGTGTCCTTTATAGTTGTCCCTGAACACCCTGATGCAGGTTTTTCAATTGGAAGAGCTTTCTTTTCTCTGACCAAATTCTCAACACAAATGAGGTGAGAAATTCTTATTCACATGCAACAGTAGCATTCTGAGTCATTTCACTTCAGTGGGGAAGCAAAAGATGAGGGGTCCCAGAGAAATGATTCGCTTTTGTTCTCACCTGCAAAGCTGTGCCCTTTCAGTCTCTGCAGAGAGCTTCAGGAAAAGACAATAGGCAGCAGATTATTCCAGAAGATTAAATATATCGTCTAATTCTACTCATCTTAAAGAGTGTGCTTTGATCTGTTTTCTCCCCAAACTGTTGAGCTGAGGTTCTTCTTAGGACACGAGTGAGACGGAGAACCTCCCCCCGGGTCCTAAGTTCAAGTGGCTGTGTCACCAGGTGGTGCCGCCTCTCTATTGACCTTCAACTTCCATTAACTTTCCTGTATTCTCCGTAACATATCCTAGGACACAAGCAGGTTGAACTCATCAAAAGAAGACAGAAACTCCAAAAATAGCTAGGCCTACTGCCAGGAACCAGATAAGAAACCCAAGGACCACAACGACAAACCCGGGTTGCAAAGGGAATATCCGAGATAATATCTGAAATCCCTTCCCAAGAGACCTTCTGATGAACTTTCTATCACTACCATACTAAAAAAAAGTAACAGTAGACCTGGGCTCAGGCAATGGACAAGGCTAAGGCCAACATTGTCCAGGGCTGAAGGGGCCCACAGAAGCCTTGGAACACAAGTCAGATTATTTAGCAATTTCCAGGAGCTTTGGGAGGCACTAAGTTTTTCATCATATTCTGATGATATGATTGTAACATAAAAAACATACTCACTGTTCCCAGACTGATGTGTGAGGGGCACACCCCTACTCACAACAACTCCTCTGGGTTACTGTGGTGCCCAATCCAGAGGGCATCCGGACCCCACCAGCCTTTCAGCACACTGTTGTGCTACAGGCAAGCATAACACAGTGTTTCAGCCTTACTATGTGGAGACACTAGAGTCAGCCTGGCTGTTAGTCTGAGCATGAAGGGAAAAATGAAGGAAGAAAAATGAGAAAAAGCAAGAGAGGACAAGAAAAAGGTAAGTACCCAGTTAAGAAAAAGCTGAAGTAGTTCATTACCACCAAACCAGTATTATAAGACATATTTTTAATTTTTTTCTTAGAGGAGATGTAGTTACTAAAAATTTTTATAATTACAAGGGCCACAGAGCTCTAAGTTGGAGGGCCCCTGGGAAGGGGGTCCCAATGGGGCCTAACCAACACTCCCACCTGCCAGCGCCGCTGCACTCAGGTTGGCCAGGTGGTGGGTGGAGAGTGGGAGCAGAGCTTCTCTGGTCTTTTGGCCTCTCCTGGGCTTGGTGCACCCCATACATGCACCCCTGCCTTTGACTGGGAAACCAAAGTTGGCAGCCTCTGTTGAGGCCTAGCCCAGACCCAGATTTTTTTATTTTGTTTTTGTGTTTTTTAATGGTTGTCAATGGTTTATTGATAATATCACAGCACAGCAGAAGGATTCGAACAGCTCCACGTGGTGTTTTGAAATTCATCCTGACTGTAGGCTGAGTGACCTGCAGGTCCAACAGACTACCAAAGTCCAGGAGCTTCAGCACCTCTTTAGTGTCAGGATCACCTTCAATGATCTCCTGACCCAGGGCTGAGACCTCAAGAACATAATTCTCTCTCCTTGTCTCTCCTTTTCCTGCAGCTTGCTAGAGATGCCTCTCATGCAGCCTCGCTGAACCCGCTTCATCAGAGCTGTGACATAGCTCGCTATCTTCTTTTGGAGCTTCTTGCTGGGCCTAATGGCTCTTTTACTAGGGACCTGCCAAGATGGGCCGCGTTCACACTAAGACCGTGAAGAAGGTGACCCAGGTCATCACTGAGAAATACTACACGCGATTGAGCAATGGCTTCCACACCAACAAGTGCGTGGGCAAGGAGAGCGACCCAAGTTTGACCACTGGCTTCCAACCCCAGCCCGAAACCAGACTCCCAGCCAGGACCCCAGCTCCACCTGTGGATCCCGCCACCGGCCGCACCCTTGACCACTCACTTACCAGAGCGCATGTCCGTGCTGGTGCTGTGGCTGAAGGCTGGCCAGGGTCAGGGGTGGGGACCAGGTGATCTAGAGGGCAGCAGCGGAGCCTGAGGCCAGGCAGTCTGCAGAGTCTCAATACCTTGACATTTAAGAAGCAACACTGGAAGGCTGGGGAGTGAATATTAAGAAAGGCTTCAAGGCCCCTCTTTCCAAATATCCTAAACCAAAAATAAATATTCACCGGTTAGGTCTTTTGATAACCTGGCTAATAGATTGCCAGCCTATGATATTAGGAACTATTACTGGCTGAACTGCATTCCCCTCAACATTCATATTTTGAGGTTATAATCCTCAGTACCTCAGAAAGTGTCTGCATTTGGAGATAAGATCTTTAATGAGGTAACTGAGGTAAAATGAGGTCGTATAGAGGGTGAGAGGGGCTCATCCAATATGACTCATGTCCTTATAGAAAGAGGAGATTAGGACAAAGACACACACAGAGGACGGACCATGTGAAGACAGAGGGAGAAGACAACCATCTATCTACAGACCAGCTGGAAGGGCCTCATAGGACACAGCCCTGCTGGCAACTTGTTTGTGGACTTCTAGCCCCCGTACTATGATAAAATAAATTTATAGTGTTTAAGCTACTGAGTTTGTGAAATCTACTGCTGAATAAATAAAAGAGACTTTCCTGTGAAGAAAGCCAAGAAGGAATCATGAAATCACTTCCTAGCATTTCTCCTAAGGCCACAGCACAGCTAGGAGACTGGTCACAGACTCTAGGGTTGGTGTGTTTGGGAACCATGGGGTCCACAGACATGGGAACAGGCAAGGTACTGTTATAATGATCAGAGTTCCTGAAATTTGACTAAAATATGATTAATCTCTAGGAAGATGGTAGCTTACAGATCCCAAGAAAATAGAAAATAAAAATATAATGACCCTGAGTCCCCAAGCAGGATTGGGAGTGTTGACAACAATCTCTGACGTTGCAGAGTTCCCCAGGGCTCATTGTTAGTGTGGCCTTGTTCAGTCAATGGAGTTTTTTTTTACCTGAGGCAGAGAAATAGTTAGCATTTGGTTAAGAATTTCAGAGAAGCTTTATATGGACTGTAGGAGACCACAGTTGCCCTTGATGGACAAAGCACAGACAACAGAGAGGACATCTGTGCCTGTGGGGCTGAGCACGCAAATCAAAAGTCAGGAGGCTGGAGAGATCACAGCCATTGTGTGTCTGTTAGGCAGAGAGGAGGAGGGATCCATGTCCCACTCACTGACTCAGCAGTCCTTAAAATTCTATGTATCTTTTCCATTACCTGGGAAAGAAAGCCTTTGAAACTGTGTTTTCATCCCAAGGCCTGAAAGGCCAGAAAGGGCCCATAGCGCCTAAGATAGAAGCCCATTAACATCTATGAGTATTCACACCCCCATCCTGGAAAGCTAGCACCACCTTTACCTGACAATCAATAAGTAACTTCTTCACCCTCCCCGTCTTGCCAACTATATAAGTCCTCAGAACAAAGAATATCTCTTGCTCTTGCCACCCCTGCTGTTGCCCCTTGCTCTTGCCTTTCTTGCCCACCTTGGTGAGGCCCATTCTCCTCCTTGAGAACACATCACCAGTAAACCCTGCTTACCTGCTGATAGATACGCTGATGTGTAATTCCTTACTGCATTGGTGAGAAGAACTGAGTTTCTGGGAGTTTCTCCCATAACATGTCATGAGATCTTTCCAAGTCCTTCAGTCATCAGATGAGAGAGGACGAGTTCACTGTAACCAGGAAAGAGTGACATCTCCTGGTGCTGACTGATAAATGTTAGGAAAAGGAGATGTTCAAGGCTTGGAGGAATGACAGGGAAGTGGACAGTGAAGAGGAGTGGGAAAACCAGGCATCACAGGTCCAAAGCATAAACATTTCTCCTCAGAATTATCCTCCTTGGGAAGATATTTTTTTTGAAACTATTGATACATTTGTGTGTGTGTAAAGGGGTAGGGGACTATGCTAGCTCCTTTAAAACAGTCCAGATGCCACAACATGCAAGAGACCTTCCCTGGCTCCCTACCCTTCCCTGCATTGGATTGAGGACCTCTCCTCAAAAGTTCTAACAATTCCATTTTTTATACCACAATATTGGAGCTTTACCACATGGTTTTAAGTTCTCCTTTTTTTATGCTCCCCCAGGCCACTATGCTATAAACTCTTTAAATTACATCATGTTTCTTTCTTTTTAAAAATTATATTTTACTGATTATGCTGTTACAGTTGTCCCAATTTCCCCCCTTTGCCCCTCCCCAGCACCCCTCACTCCCTTAGGCAATTTCTACACCATTGTTCATGTCCATGGGTCATGCGTATAAGTTCTTTGGTTACTTCATTTCCTATACTGTACTTTACACCCCCATGGCTATTCTGTAACTACCAATTTGTATTTCTTAATACCCTCACCTCTTCATCCATTCCCCCACACTCCCTTCCATCCAGCAACCATCAAAACACTCTCTGTGACCATGATTCTGTCTCTGTTCCTCTTGTTTGCTTAGTTGCCTTTTAGATTCAATTGTTCATAGGTATGTGTTTATTGCTATTTTATTGTTCATAGTTTTGATCTTTTTTTTCTTAAATAAGTCCCTTTAACATTTCATATAATAATGGTTTGGTGATAATGAACTCCTTTAGTTTTTTCTTGTCTGGAGAGCTCTTTATCTAGCTTTTGATTCTAAATGATAGCTTTGCTGGATAGAGCCATCTTGGCCGTAGGTCCCAGCTTTTCATGACTTTGAATATGTTTTGCCAATCCCCTCTAGCCTGCGAAGTTTCTCTTGAGAGATGAGCTGACAGTCTTAGGGGAAGTCCCCTATAGGTAACTAACTGCATTTCTCTTGCTGTTTTTAAAATTTTCTCTTGCCCTGGCTGGTGAGGCTCAGTGGATTGAGTGTTGGCCTGAAACCAAAGGATTCCCAGTTCAATTCCCAGTCAGGGCACATGGCTGGGTTGCAGGCCAGGTCCCCAGCTGGGGGAGTGTGACAGGCAACTACACATTGATATTTTTCTCCCTCTTTTTCTCCCTCCCTTCCACTCTCTCTAAAATACAAAAAATAAAAATAAAAATAAAATAAAATTCTCTCTTTATCGTTAACCTTTGGCATTTTAAGTATGATGTGTCTAAGAGGAATTACTTAGGAATCCAGTAGTTTCTTTCACCAACCCAAATAGTCCCTGTTGTCTTTTATAGCCAGAAGTTATGGGGGCTTATCTTCCTGCCACTAGAACTCTGGGGTCAGGGGGCTGGTGTGAGGCTAGGACCCCTTGCTGCA